CATCCACCACGTCCCACCTCTAGCAGAAGAACAGGAAGACCCTTAGAGATCATTACAACACTGTTAGCAAAAAGAAAAACAATTTAAACAACCAAGATATTCAACAACTGGCAACTATTTAGTGCTTTGGATAACAGGCAAACACTATGCAACCCTTAAAAGGAGTAAGAAGGAACTCTCACCAGAGAGCATTGACACATTAAGTTAAAAGAGCAAAGTGCAGAAGAGTGTGTATAATATAATCCCATGTCATCACCAGAAAAATGGAGAAGGATATTTAGACATGTGTCTGAAGTTGCATAGAAAAAATCTGGAACAAGGTGCTAAAAGTTGTGCTCTATGCGAGGGGAGTAGGGGGAGAATGGATACATGTATATGTATGGCTGAGTCCCTGAAATTATCACAACATTGTTTTTAGTTATTAATTTATTTATTTTTACTTGGAGGGTAACTGCCTTACAGTACTGTGTTGGTTTCTGCCATACATCAAAATGAATTAGCCATAGGTATACATATGTTCCCTCCCTCTTGAACCCCCCTCGCAGCTCCCGCCCCATCTCATCCCTCCTGGTTGTCACAGAGCACCAGGCTTGTGCTCCCTGCATCATACAGCAGATTCCCACTGGCTATCTATTCTACATGTGGTAATACATATGTGTCAATGCTGCTCTCTCAGTTCATCCCACCCTCTCCCCCCACCCCCACCCCCGCTGTGGCCACAAGGCTGTTCTCTACGTCTGCATCTCCACCGCTGCCCTGCAGACAGGCTCATCAGCACCATCTGTCTAGATTCCTATCACAACACTGGTGATTGGCTATACTCCAAAACAACATTTAAAAATAAAAGTGCTCCCCTCTGGAGAATAGAACGGAAGTGTTTTAATTTTCTATTTAATCCTACTTAAGGTAAAACCAATGCAGAAACTGACAAGAAATAATAAAAGAGGAGGACAGTCCAGGAAGGAGGCAGCTTCACCAGGGAATGAGTCGACCCCAGGTACTTTAATCTCTTCAGCGAATTCATGATTCCTAACAGTTTTCTTTAAAGTCAGACATGAACTCAGCACTCTCAAAGCAAAACAGCTTCATTCTACTTTGTGTGGTTTTCTCATCAATATTTGGTAAAACAACTAGTAAGAGAGTATTTGTTTGTTTGTTTGGGGGCATAAAGAAGATGTGAATGGGCTAGGGGCCTGACCAAAACAAGCTCCTGCTCAAAACTTTTCAGGGTCCCTGATTAAGAAATGAAAAACTGACATATCAAAACAAGTTGCTACCAGGAGGCAAGAACAGGGGAAAAGGTAGTAATTAAGTCTTGAGTTCCATCCTAGGCAGCCGTATGACAGTGGGCACTGATTCCTGGGAGTTTCGGGTCTCCTATCAGGCAAGTGGGCATAAGAACCATCTCCTGACCTCGGAGTGGTATTATGAGAATGCAGGGAGAAACCCTGAGGCATTCAACACAGTATCTCCAAGCATTAAATCTGTAGTGCAGGTGGTTAATAAATAGGACCCAGAACTTGATGACATAAATAACAAAAAGAGAAGAAACTACTTCAGCGAATCCTGATCAACAGGAATGTTCAAAGAATCCATCCAGTTGATTGACTTCTCTAAATGCGAAAAGACCAGCCAGAGAAGAAAACAAAAGCCACATACATTGTCAGTGGGGACAGATGTAACCCAGAGCCTGCGAGGCCCAAGGTCATCTTACTGAAAACAGCCAGGAGGAAAACTTGTACACAGTCATACACAGCTGGATTTGCAGTGGCCATAAAAAGAAAGCTTGGTGATAGGAACCACCCAGGCTCCAAGTATGACCTGTTATTGCTTTAGGATTTATCTTCTGCCTTCTTCCCAAAAGGATCAGAGGCAGATTGTAGGAAGAGTCAGGTACTCAGCAGACTCATTTAAATAAGAATATGAGAATCAGAGGAATGTATAGAGGGTGCGGTACCAGCTGAGATCCGTTGCAACTGAAAATAAAACTTAGCTCTGGGCATCCAGACTGAAGGCAGAAAAGCAAACCGGTAGACTGTCATTAGGGGAAGAATCAGATTCAACTGGGAAGGTACATTTTTACAGAATTAAACTTGAAACGTTATCATCAGAAACCGATCCTGGGACTTCATGCATTTGATTACCTCCTACCTCCCAGACTCCTAAAATAAGCTTTAGTGTGCTGTTTTCCTCCTCACAGGTTTGCTGTGTGACCTGGAGCCAATGCCTCACCTCTGAGTATCTCAGGTTCCCCATCCTTTAAAGGGAGGGATGCGCCTGCCTATTTAAGAAAAGGAATGAAGGAACCTTTGTCAGCATTAACTGAGTGCTTACTAAACTTCAAAAGCCTTGCGTACATTATCTCACTGAAATCTCCCAATAACTATAAAAGGCAAGCCCTATAAATAGTTACAGATGAGCTCTCTGAGATTCAGAGAGGTAGAGACAGCTGATACTGTCACAAAGCTAAAAAGTAGAAGAATCAGAACTCCATTCCAGGTTTTCATGTTACCAAGGTGCAAATTTAACTGTTAAGACTTTTGCCCTTCTTTTGTGTATCTAAAGCACCTAACAGGTTCCTAGCATATAGTAGGTAATCAGCATACTTGTTTCCTTCCTCACTCCTTCCTTTTCTCCTGAAGTAAAATTATGTATGTAAGGAAAATTGTATGTCTACTGAAATATTATTAGTATCTTATATTTATAGAGCTTCTTTTCCTCTAAGGAGATCACACTACTTAATTTGTTTTCTCTACTAATTTCACCAAAGATCTAGCTATCATTGTGTATTATATCATTTATTTTACAAATGAGGAATTAGAAGGCAACAATCTGCTAGGGTGATGTGCCCAGAGTCATATGGAAGTCACTGCCAAAACCAAATAAAAACCTTGGTCTTCTTTACATCTAAATCAGCCTTTATCCTCTCACATGACACAACCTCCATAATAAAGAACAGATCATTCATTTTTTATCTGGAAAACTACCAAACGAATAATTCAGTAAGGGGCCCCATGACCTTACCACCTTGTCAGAGGGAAGAAAGTATATAAAAAATGAGGTTTGCAGGAGCAGACGGTTTTGGTCCATCAACTTTCTCTTGGATTACACCCATTAGCCAACATAAAATACTGCAAAATATAATGTAACAGATCCCCATGTCTTTGGAAATTCAAGTTAAACTCACTGATCTTTCAAAACTTATATACAATGCACAAGGGCAGCCATTAACTCGAGTGGGGCTGCAGAGGTGCACATGATGTCAGCAAGTTCTTTGAAAGAAACACAAGATCCACAATCGGGCCACTCTAGAAGAATCCAAGTCAGCGACGAGCACTTAGGGGCATCAATTCACAGCATCACAGAATTCTGGAGCTCCAGAAGGGACCTGGAAGACCACTGAGAACAACGCCTTCATCTTGTACATGAAGAACCCGAGGCTCGGGGTGGGAGGATAAGTGGCTTTGCCAAGATTTCACAGACATGAGAGCAAGAACGAAAAAATTAAGCTGCTGACTATATCCATCCCACTTGCGAGTCATGCTTCTGATGGCCATGAGTACACCTAGCACTTTCCAGAATTACCCACCTATACACTGAGCGCAAAAGAAAGAGCCTGAAATATGGTAACAGAAAAACTCAGAATTCAAATTCTGGCCATGTGATCTTCAGGAAGTCCCTTAATTTCTCCGAATTTTAATTTTTTTCATCTATAAACTGTAGGTAATAGTAAACTCCACAAGTAAGCTGCCAGTAATATAAACAAGGGGCCCGCAGAGCCCTGAGTTACACAAAGGCCAACATTAGGTCCACATACAACCCGAACACCCAGCACAGAGGCTGGCACATAACACATTTGTAGGAAATCTGCTAAGCGAATCAACGAACTAACCAAGCAAACAAGTACCGGACTTGAACTCGGATCTGTTTGCTTCTTATATAGCTCCCAATTCATACAATTTCAAAGCAGAGTGTTACTTCTGACTTACAGAGGCCATTTTCTGGCAAAAAAGCAGGAAAAAAAAGGTCTACAGGGAAGTTCTTGGACTCTTCAATGTTGGTATTAATTCTTAATGCTAGCATGGGTACATCATGAGGCTCTAGAATCAACTAAACCTGAGCTTCAGCATAAGCTGTGTGACCTCAAAGACACACACATTCTCTGAGCCTCAATTTCCACACCTGGGAAAAAAATCTACTTTACAGAGGTTGTGTGACAAATGCAGCAATCTATATAAAGGAATACAGAATGATGTGTGGCACATGATGACAAGTTCACATTCCACTTCCCTTCTAGTTATTGGGAAGCTTCATTCATTCATTTCACTTAGATACCTGCTCTGATGTCACTTCCTTCTTGAACCTTCCTACCTACAAATATATATATTTTATATATATATATATAAAAGTTCTATCTATATATATATATAAGTTCTATATATTTACGTAACTAACAATATTCTGTTCTTTCTTATACCTAAAATTCTTCAACAAGTGAGGACTAGTGGGAAAATGACTCTTCCAGAAATCTGGGTTAGAGATTACAAGTGTCAAGGTCCTTTCAGACTCAGGGCCTTTGGACTGTCTGTTCCCTCTGCCTGGAAAGCTCTTCCCCTAGGCTGCCTTGTCCTCATCATTCAACTGTCAGCAGCAATGTGACCTCCTTGTGAAGTTGTCCCTGCCACCATCACTTTCAGCAAGTCACTCTCTATTGGAACACACTGTCCTTTCTTTTCTCACAGCATTTCATTATCTGGAATGACTTTATTTATGAGTCCTATCTTCCCATAGGAATGTAAAATACATGAGGACAAGAACTTTGTCAGATCTACTGCTGCATTTGAATCAATTAAACTGGATCCCAAAAGATGCTGGAGCCGGCCAGGATGAGAGATACAGGTAAAGTACACCATCAGACTAACAGTATCATGGAGTGTTGGTTTTCTTCCAAAGAGAGCTGCCCCATTACATCAAAATATGTGAACGTCAGCCAGACTTACTTGGGAATGGGTACCCGAATTAGCGTCCCCTCCACTTCTGGGTTCAGATTCATTCCACTTTCTCTTATAGCCTTGATAGCTGCAGCTGTACACTGAAAACCAGATCAAAAGGTAAACAGAATTAGTAAATAATTATTACCAGATGCAAGCCCTCTGTCGATAACTGGCAACCCATCTTGGCAGAACATGGAAACATTTAGTTCTGTTACCAGTAAGATCAGGAAGTTACATTGGTGTAGAGTGCTTTGATCAAGCTGAATAGCAAACTATGTCCACTCCTGGTACCAGTGTATTGCAGGAGGGAAAAAAAAAGCATAGAGGAAAAAATAAAAAGAAAACAGCTCTGCTTCTTTGAAAAGATTTCAATGGTTTGAGGCAACGCAGATCAAAACCACAATAAATCCTCAAGGGAGGGGGGCTGGTCTGTGCAAAGATCGGTGTAAAGACAGCTGAAAGATTTTATACATTAAAAATTCCAGTTGACATTTTACACTCAAAATATACCAGTGCCGAATGGAATGAGTAAATAAATTTAACTCACTCGCATCTATGCTCACACCAACCTCACTCGTGTTTTGGTATGAGCAATGAATCTCTGTTGGTATGCGTGCCAAGAAAGGAAGCATGGAAGATCTCAGTTCAAATCCCCACTCTGCTAACCATGTGACCCTGGGCAACAAGCCTGACCTCTCTGAGCTTCCATGTAGTAATCTGAGATGCTGCAGTACTGTACCTCAGAAAGGATTAAATGAGCTAACATGAGCCATGCATCTTCTTCTGTGTCTGGGTGCCTGTAACACCTAGGCAAGGGGCGCTATTATATAAACATATTCAATAAAGATAAGAATGCACAAACCCCCAAAGAACGATGAGCTGATGTCATCACTTAACTGATGCACTGCTGTTTTTTTTTTTTCTTCTTTTTTTGTGCCTATACCATGAGGAATGTGGATGTCGGATCTTAGTTCCCCTGAACAGGGATTGAACCCATGCCCCCTGCAGCGGAAGTGCAAAGTCTTAACCATGGGACTGCCATCGAAGTCCCTCTTTGTTTAAAAAAAACTTTATTTTATCGAAATATAGCTCTTTTACAATGTTAACTTCTGCTGTACAGCAACATGACTCCGTTATATGTAAAGATCTTCTTTCTCATGTTCCTCTCCACCACGGTTTCTCACATAACACGGAGGATCGTTCTCTGGTGCGCTGCTGTCCTGACGCCCATCAGGGTCTCTTCTGACACAGCCTGCTCTCTATTGGGCAAGGTGGCACGCTGCTACACTGACTTCCCATCTCAGCCGTAAGCAACATTATAGCCACACCTGGTTCGCAATCCTATTGCATAAGAGAAGGCAGTGTGGAAGAGAGAACTCCATTGGCATGACAATGTGCCATTCATGAAAACAAGGCCCCTGATTTTCAAAAGAATTTTAGGTTTGACCAGAGCCAATCCACATCGCTTGGATTCAACGGAGCCAATTCCCAGCCTTGAGTTCCTCCCTAGACTTTCCAGTTTAAATAAATGGGGTTTGTTGCACACCTATTTTTTTTCCAGGTTGGGTTTTGTTTCAAGGGCGTGCCTAAAAAGCTCATCCATTTCACGCTAAAATGACCTGAATTCTATAGGGACATAAGATGTTATCTTTAGGTCAAAAAGACAAACCAGCATTTCACAAGAAGACAAATCATGCCCCTGGGCTACAGAATTTAACTGTGCAGCCACTGCTTAAAATGATAAATTCTTAAAATGTACCTCTGACCATAGACTACTGGAGCTGGAAGGGATCTCAGACAGAACCAGTACAGTCCCCTCCTGCTGGTAAAAGTCACACTTCTACACAGAGACACAGTCCCTGAAAGTCAAGAGCAACAGAGTAAAGACCTTGCTCATCACGCTTCTGGCTACTGGCAGTGTTAAGAAGAGGCTCAGCTCCTCAACTCTCCATCCAGTGACGTTACTTAGTCTCTATTACCTCCCAGATCCACTAGTTCAATGTATTCAGTAACTATGGCACAGGGAATTTGATTCTTTTTTTTAATAGCCAAAAGGAATTTGGAACTAGGTCTGGTGTATAAAGCGTATGGCCAAGGTAAATAAAAGAGCTGGATAAAGAAATGAAATTTTCCTCTACAAGAGAACTACCAACTTCCTTAATAAAAATGAAACACAGATTTCTAGAGTTAAACATAAAGGGAGGGGCTTCCCTGGCAGTCCAGAGGTTTGGACTCTGCACTTCCAATGCAGGAGGCACAGTTTCTATCCCTGGTTGGGAGAACTAAGATCCCACATGTCTCTCGGTGTGGCCAAAATATAAATAAATAGACTGATTAATTAAAAAATAAAAAAATTTTTTTAAAAAGGGAGAATCACCACTTTGAAGGACTGACCTGATTTCAAGTCTCCTACCTTTTTCTGAAGCTTTTCACTGAAGGAAAGACTGGTAACTTGGCTGGACCACCCTCCCCCCCCACCACCTCCTCTTTCCCTTCACAGTCTGGCCCAAGTGTTGCCACACAGCCTTCCCAGGCAAGCACAGGAGCACCCACTGCTGCTTCCAAGCTGGGCAGGAGACAGCTCAACATTTACACCTTCCCTGTCCAAGGCTCAGTGCCAAGGATGCAGTGAGTGCTCAGTAAAAGCTTGCTGAATAAGCAGATTAATACGTATATTAAAGCACCAGCTCAAACCTGTTAGAAACATTCTTCATGTTTATACCCTCTCCCAAAAGCCTTATTTTGTACCATTTTATACCTGTTCTGTGTCCTTTTGCATGCAGAAAAAAATGTGAACCAAGAGTGATTTCATTTGCAAAACAAAAAAAAAAAACCTACTGAAAGATGTAGTTCTTCTGAAATACTTTAAACATGTACATTTTAGTTTGATATGGAAGAATACAGAAACTCAGGGAATTATAGTCATTTTCCCAACATGACTTCTGACCTACTCATGGTTCAGACAAGAAGGCATGCATTTCTATCACATTTCCATCTCCTAGCCTTTACCCCTCACTGAAGAGATGCCCACCAGCGCCCCAGTGCAAACAGATGCTCTCCAATGGCAAAAATGACTCACTGGTTGTGGCTGCTTGGAGTATTGTGTTGAGAAAGATCACAGATCCCATGTGGTGTTAGGCAGGACCGAGCGCTGTGATCAATTAGCAATGTCTGCTATTACTGCGTGCGTACATGCTCACTCAGTAGTGTTTGACTCTTTGGGACCCCAGGGCCTATAGCCTGCCACACTCCTCTGTCCATGGGCTTTTTCAAGCAAGAATACTGGAGTAGGTTGCCTTTCCTCCTCCAGGGATTCTTAAACTAATAAATCCAATTCATTCATGTCTACACTCACATCTGTGTGCATGTGTATACTACAGGACAAAAGATGATGAAATTTTTGTAGACAGGTGAACAAGTCCTTGACAATCTGGGTTCAAGTCAACAGCTGATTTGCAGAGACTCAACAAAAATACTTGTGGAATTAAGGAACAGATGGTGAAAGAAGCACAGGATTTAGAGTCAAACAGACAGACATAAGCTCAGGTCCTGGCTCTACGGCCACAGTGTCAATCTGTGGAAGAATTCTACTTTTCTGAGCCTCAGATGCCTCCTCTAGAAAACGGACTTGTCTAACTTTAAAGAGTAGCTGTGCTGATCACATGAAACAAAATATGAGAAAGCAATGCCTAGCAGCCCTGTAGACACTCAACACACCTTTCTTCCTTTCACAAGAGCAATAAAGGAGCCTGCAGAGTTTTTTTTTTTTTCATTTGCTTTACTCAAATCATGCTGTGGTCTGTTTTTTTTTTTTAAAACTCCCTTCTTTCCCATCATTAACTCTAGCTGCAGGCAAGTTTATGGAAGGTAGTAACTTGTGAGTATCATTTATCAAGCAGGACACATGCTAAACAAATGCAATGCAGTTTTCTGCCCTCAATGCATTTAAAAAGATTATGCATGTAAATCTGCATCATGTCTCTATGGCATGACCCAGAAATGCCCAGGTTTGAAAAGAAAGCCAGCCGCATGTGAAACAGAAAGGAAGTGTATAAACACAGAGAGGATTAGCTCAGCATTTTGAAGCTATAAACCTGGGCGCTCCATGGACAACATCGAAACCAGAGGAAGGAAATGTTTAGTTAGAGCTGTTTGTTTAATATATACACCAGATGAGATAAAGGAATTCAAAAGACAATGTAACTCACACTTCCTCACTCTGTCCTTGTAAGGAGCCTCTCTACTAAGGTTAACTGTAGATGTGGTTTTTGTTTTTTTTTTTTCAAAACTCACAGAATTTCAACTTGGAGAAATGGCAAAGATGCCTTGCTTGGAAAATGAAGATATATTCCAATTTCCTAAGAAAAAATTAAGCTGTTAATACCTCCTCCTGCCTCTTAAGATGCTCTGGTAGCCAATCAGGTGCTTCTTCTGTGAATGCCATTTGCTATTTAATAACAGAAGTGGCTGGCTCTGAAAAGCAATCTGCCTGATGAGGTCTTCAAGCTGTGTAATTAGGAGGCTGTTCCCTAAATTGGCCCGCGGTGACTGTGGGATCAGATGAACAAGGCGGAGAGGCCTCAGTGGTTCAGAGGGGCCAGAAGGGGAAAGAGCTAACAGTTCCCTTTCTGTCCATTTCTCTGCTCCTCAGGAACACCACGAATGAGTGCCTCCCTTCCATCAACCTAATGACAAGTATTCACCCATTTGAAGGAAATTTACTAGGTGCATCCATGTGTCAGGCATGGTGTTTGGTGCTGGACAGAATGAGCAAGTTGGATATGATTCCTACATTCCAAGCTTACAATCTAGTGAAAGGGAGATGGAAAACTAAGATGTAGATTAGTGCATAACTACTAATAAATACAATGAAGAAAAAGAACTGTGCTGTATAAAAGTGGTTAATATAGAGGAATAATTGAGATTTTGCGTAGACTAGGAAAGACTTCTCTGAGAAAGTAATATGAAAGCTGTGGTCCAAAATACGGATAGTAATTAGCCAGACAAGAGTGATCCAAGCAAAGGAAACATCATATGCAAAGGCCCTGAGGATACTAAGGTTTGAGGAACTGAAAGGCTAGTGGGCAGAGCAGTGTGCAAGGGTGACAGTGGCATGAGACTGGGGAGTCTGCAAGAGACAGGCAGGGGCCATTTCATGCAAAGCCTTCTAGGCCACAGTCACCTTCTTCTCAAAGATTACTTGAAGCCACTGATAAACTCAGTGCCCGGGAATGACATAATCCAATAAATATTAGTATCTTTACAAGTTCACTCTGGCTAAAGTACGGAGAACACAATAGGGGAGAAGTGAGTAATACCCCCACAAATATGGGCACATCGGCTGCAAGAGCCCCCTGATTTGAAACAGTTTGTTCATAGCAAGGGCTTACTCTTATCTCTAACCCAGTTTTGTCAAATCCAGCAGGTCCAACTTTGGTCTGTCTTTGGGCTAGAATTACTGAAAGAGACCATGGGAATAGACAGAGACTTCAGATTCCTTCACCTCACGTGAACAGATGAGGAAATGGAGACCCAAAGAGTGATGCAAACTACATAGACAGTTGGCAAGAGGTGGGACCAGATTCCAGGTCCTCAGGAGTCCTAATCCAGGTCACTTCTTACTGGATCAGTAAGGAAAAGCCGATTTATCTTCCCCAACCAGACAAAATCACAGCCTCCCGGTTGCAATGATCTAATGCAATCCACCTTCCAGCCCTGGAAGTACTGTGCTCTGGGCAATATTCTGCAATGGCCAGTTGAGTCTGAAAGGAATGTGAATTCCTGGAAGGTTTGCTCCAAATAGGGCTTCCCTGGTGGCTCAGACGGTAAAGAACTCACCTGGGTGGGGAAGATCCCCTGGAGGAGGGCATGGCAACCCACTCCAGTATCCCTGCCTGGAGAATCCCCGTGGACAGAGGAGCCTGGCAGGCAACAGTCCATGGGGTCACAAAGAGTCAGACCACTGAGTGACCAAGGACACACAGCACAGCACTTCTCCAAATAATAATGCAAAAGTCACAAACTAGTGGCCCACGGGACAAACATGGCCCATCAATATATTTTATCATAGACTTAAAACACACCAATAAAGGGAATTAGTTATCAACGTTTAGCAAAGATTTTACATAGAAATTGGGGCTATTGGCTTTTTCGGTAAATAAAAATCTTAGTATCTGGTAGTATCTGATTACCAGGCCTACATTTCTGCCTGGGAAGGATCAGCAGCAACTGGGCAAAAGCTGCTCCTTTCAGGCAGGGCACAGGCTCTACAGTTTACCCTTGCCCTTCCAATTACCCCACTGCCATTATTGTTTGTCTTAGATGGGGCCTGTGTCAGTATTCAAATTACTTGCCTGGGCTCTATAGTGTTTGAGTAAAATAGAAAAGGAATTTAGAAACAGGAAGAGAGCTTTTTGTATCCTTAAATTCCCTTTGTTATGCCTTGTCTGTTGTTTCACCCCAAAGTGAAGCGAATACTTCCTCCTGACTTGCTGTAGTCTCCTGCATTACAAGGGAGACCATGGAGAGGGAGCCCTTGAGCTAGGCCACCTTACCTCTGGGAAGCTGGCCATATTCACCAGTATCAGCTGTGGCGACTTCATGGAGATCTGGCCGATCTGGTTGAGAGCAAGCTTCCCATCAGCAGTCACCACAGTGATATTATCAAGGGATCCTAAAAGGAAAATTAAAGAAAGGGTCTTAGAATTCAGAAGGACTTTTAGTAACCTTGCATCTAAGTCTCTATCAATTCAGATTCAACTAATGTTTAGAGAAATATCAATAACTTCAGATATGCAGATGACACCACCCTTATGGCAAAAAGCGAAGAGGAACTAAAGAGCCTCTTGATGAAGGTGAAAGAGGAGAGTGAAAAGGCTAGCTTCAAACTCAACATTCAAAAAACAAAGATCATGGCATCTGGTCCCATCACTTCATGGCAAATAGATGGGGAAACACTGGAAACAGTGACAGACTTCATTTTCTTGGGCTCCAGACTTTAAAGAAGCAGTGGTGTCGTGTGATGGGAAGAGCTTTGAAATGTTGACAGAACTAGGTTGAAATCCTTGCCAGCACCAGAGTAGCCAAGGATCTGATCTGCCTGGTCCTGCATGGTTCCCTGTGACACAGGGCTTTGACAGCTGGAACTGGAAAGTGTTGGTCACCCTTCCAGCTATGTCACCACTTACTAACATGAAACCTCGGGCAAGTTCAACACAGTCATCTTCTCAGTACCTTGGTTTCCAACTCAATTAAAAAATACTTTACAGGACTAAAGTATAGATTACAACTCGATATAAATAAGCAAAGATACAACAGACTCACACAAAAAATAAACATAAAAATAGGTACCTCTTACTAGCCCTTTTCACAACTAGTCTGTAACATTGTATCACTGTATCCACTTTACACCAGAGAAGGAAACTGAGGGAAGTAAAATGAGCCAAGTCACAGAGCTAACAAAAGGAAAACCCAGCAAGAGCCCAGCCCCAACTCAGGTGTGCTTACTACCAACTCTAATCAAGGCTCTTTCCCTTATCGGTGGAATTTAACTTGCACTGCACCGTTCAGAAATCTCCAGGGAGCTTTTAAATTTAGATTCCTGGGTTCCACTCCCCAGAGATCCTGATTCTGTAGGGGCTCAGGAGCCTGTGGTCTTGGGGGCACTTGTAGTTTTCTTTCAAGATGACCGCATGATTCAGACATGCAGCCAGGTTTGGAACTGTTACCTCGTACCACCTTGATTTTGGCACTTAGACTCCCTTTAGGAACTAAAAAAAAAAAAAAAAAAAAAACCCACCAATTATTACCACTTCACGGATACCCTGGATGTGATCTTTGTCTATATCTGAATTAGGGGAAACCTTGGGCAAAATTTTCTTGTCAAGAAGGCAAGTATATTGTTACAAGACAATATAAGGGGCATTACTCAAACTTCCTGATTTCCTATGCAAATGAGAACTAGAAGAAAACTTTACCATTCATTTTAAGAATCACTCGAGAATGGCTCATTCTGACACACCAAGTGAGTGAGTGAGTGAGTGTGTGTGTGTGTGGTGGGAGAGGTGTCAGTCTTTTCAACAAATTGGGAGTTGTCCTAGCAAATTGTTAGGCTAATGTAGTTCCACACTATGCCCCTAAGATCTGATTTGAAGCACAGTATTCAACTCAATTCAATGCCATCACAAGTTAGAAGGCTGTTGACACCATTGGCTTCAATCTGGAAAAGTCCATGATTCTGAAGACCAATGACCTGGGTTCAAATACCAACCCTGCCACTTCCTGAACTGTATGACCTTAGGAAGGTCTCCTGAACCATCTGGGCGTCTGTTTCCTGACTTCTAAATGGGGCATTAAAATCATACTTATCTCACTGGGTTGTTATGAGAGTTAAAAGAGTTTATGGAAAGCCGTTATACTGTCCTGGCATATACAAGGGCCCAATACATGCTATTATCATTATGTCTCAACTTTCTCCTATATTTTAACCAAACTAACCTACTAACAGTTTCTCTAATACAGTCTGTTCTCTCTTGCCTTAGGATCCTCAGCATATATTTTTCCTTCCACTAAGGATACCCTTCTATTCTCAATTTCTGCTCACTCTTGAACACTCAGCTATGACTGCATCTAATCTCAGAAATCCTGTCTGACCTCTTAGGCTGGATTACAAATTCTTTATGAGCTCCAGGGTCCTACACACAAATCTGTAATAATGATGTCCCATCTTTACCGAACACTTTCTAGGGCAAGACATGGTTCTAAATGCTTTCTATACTTTATTTGCTTTTATTATCACAATAAACCTGTGAGACAGTTCCATCATTTTACAGATGTGGAAACTGGGGCACAGAAAATAACTTGTCCAAGGTCACAAGAGACCTTAATGGGGCCTGAATTCAAACCTAGACCTGATCAACTCCAAAGTCATGATCTTCACCACTCTACTTTGCTATGTGGTTTTACACATTGGTTTACTTGTCTATCCCTACACACTAGGATCTAGACTCCTGGAAGATGGGGACAGTGTCTTTTCTCTCTGAATCTACAGCACCTATTAAACAGCACAGAATAAGTGCTTAATAATACGTTGATGAAGACATAAATGTATGTATGAATGAATGAATGAGAGGACAAGAATGAAGAATCAAATAAACCTGTATTTTAGACAACTATTAAAAGCAATCAATTCTGTCTTCAATCTTGGAGACAGAAATTGCTGGTAGACAGACAGAGGTATAAGGGGAAAAATGTCTGCTGGTTCAGGTAGTATTGAAAAGTATTAAAAAGTATTGAAAGTATTCCATATCATATGGAATAATGGAATATGGAATAATCTGGAAAAAAAAAAAGTAAAATAAAATGAAAGCCTGGCTAGGTTCAGCCTGTTTCACCTAGTCTCTTCATGGCCCCAAGTTCTACACAGAACGCTGTACAAACATAACCCTGAAGAGAAAGAAGCAAAGAGGAAATACCAGCGGGAGGCCTATTGAAAATGGATCTTAATTCAGCCTTCCTGATTTGCCATAAGATCCTCTGCCACAGAAGTCCCAACATGGGCTTTTCACCATGCAATTGTGGTGGTTCCCATTCCCAAAATCCATATCGACATAATGCATCAAATCCTTTTCCCTCAATCTGTCCCCAGCGAGCATCTCCCTCAGCCTCATTCCTGCCCCTCATTTTTGCAGAGGTTAACATTTAACAAATTACACTCCCAACCTCTTTCCAGGCCCATCATCTTTTTAAGTTCAACAAGAGTGGAGCTTGCTGGCCAATTTGAAGTATCACATTTCTCCCTGAGCTCCTCTCAAACTGCTCTCTGGTTTCTGCTGCAGAATGTTAACAGGCCAGAAAGCACAGGGGAGACAAAGCACTTTATCAGCTTCATACCTAAAATAATAAGCAAGTTTAAAATAAACAGTCGGGAGAGATTGAATGGCACACTCTACTGTCAGCAAAGGCAGAAATGCCCCAGTCCAGGGTTGACAAATGATAGAATGGTCTTCTGGTTTCACACTGGATCTCATCTCTGATGTTTCTGCTGGTGTTTATAGATGGAGCTGTAGATTTTTCACTTGGTTTTCTTAAGAACAAGTTCATGAAATATTTTCTAGCTTTCTTATGAACTATCCCAACCAAGATGTGAGCGGGAGCAGCCCAAGCTCCCACAGATACTTTCCGAGGGGGTCCCGGGCTTGACTCTAGGATGATGACAATTTCCAAAAGGCCAATTTAATAGCAATTGGATTTTTCCTGCCTGCCTGCACCATTAGCTGACAACTCACTTCTTCCATCACATCTGCAAACAGTTCTCCTAGACAGTTCTGACATTTCCCACTTAGAAAAGCCATTTTCAGGAAGTTATTAACCCAAACGGAATCTTCCTGGTCAAGCCCAGGGGTATAGAAATGCCTCAGGTGGGCATGTTTGCAGCCAGTTGGTCCCCAGTAAGGGATAAGAATGGCCAAATCGGACAAAAAATGCACAAATCAGACGAAAGATGTCAGTTACTATGAGACTAAATACCTACAAGTTTTTAGAATACAGTAATAATGAAAGTCCCATTTTCTGACAGTATGATTCCATGAGAGCAAAGATCATGCCTATTTTTGTTTACTGGGAACCAGCACAATGACTAGTTCATAGCAGACAAGTATGTGCTAAATGGATAAATGCAGTGTTAATACATGCTGGGCACTGTACAAGAATCATTACACATGTTACCTCACTTATTTTCATCCCCATCCCAAAGCTAGAAGGCGGGAATTAGACAAGGAAACTGAACACCAGAGAAGTAAAGTAACTGCCAGTGGTCACCAAATAATACGTGAAACCCAGTTCTGCCAAAGCAATGTTCTTGCCACTGTGCCCCTCTCCAAAACACAGGTTCACTCACTAACCTGGTGAGGTCCTTATATTGACAGTCTTATTGAAATTATCCTTGAGTGCTTCGATCACAGATTTCATTTCTTCATCCACTTCTTCCAAGTTGATGATATCCTCAACTAAGGCAGCGTTAAGATTCATTCTAGTTTGGGACTGTCCTTTCCCTTTGGCTAGAAAGTCAACATTCAATGAATTTAAAAGAAAAAACAAAAGCATAAATAGAGACAATAAACAATGAGTTAAGAAAAAGAGAGACACAGAAAATATATTAATTCATTTAAAAATGAATCCTAAAACAAGGCCATGCAAAGTATCTGATGGCTGGTACAGACAGAAAGAAGAGCAGTGGTTTAGCAACATGAAACACCACCAGTGGTAGTGACAATGGCTTATATTTTAGAAAATCAACAATATTGAGAACTGAGTAAAATTCTAGTTTGTATCTAAACCATCATAGTGATGTTTCATAAGCATCTATAATATATATATGCATAGCTCACTCTCGTGAGTAATACAAATATTCTTGCATTCCTTTATGTAGGGTGTGGGAAGAGGGAAAAGAATAAAAACATTTAAACAGTACTATCCTATACTTGATTATTTATTAAATACTCAACATTTATTGAGATCATTCACAACAAATTTCATTAAACATCTACAATAAGTTAGATCCTGTGCTATCTGTATACCATAATACAATTTGCAATGCAATTTCAAGTACATTCTTCTATTAGAATTCAAAGCAGCCCTCTGACATAGGAAGAACAGATTATTATTGTTCCCATTTTACAGATAAGGAATCTGAGGAACAGCTATTTAAATGTTTTGCCCAAAGTAACCAACCAGTAAGCAGCAGAGTGATTTTTTTTTTTGAACATTTATTTGCTTGTGTCATCATCTTGCTTGAAAGCTCTGAAGTTAACACGCTAACGGCTTAGAATTTTCAGAACTGATGAAAGAGCTGAATTTTCAGATTTAGAAACAGTTTCAAACAGGATAGTAAAAGCAAATTCATACCTAGACATTTTGTGAATGCAGAAAACCAAGGACAAAGAGGCTGTGAAAACAGCCAAAGAGAAAAGACAAATTACCCATAAAGGAACTTATGCTCATCAGTACCAGAAAGTTCTATTAAGACTAATTCACAAAAATTCAAAAAAATTCAAAAGCCCTAAATTAATATTAGCAAACCAAATCCAGCAACATACAGATTATGGATCAAGCAATGTATATGCACATCACATATAAGAACAAGGAGGGCTTATACCAAGAACGGAACAGTGGTTTAATATCTGAAAAGGCTATTAATGTTGAGCCACCACATTCATAGATTGAAAAAATTTTTTAAATACTCAATAAATGCAGCAAGAGCACCAATAAAAAAAATTAATATCCATTCAAAACAAAAACTCTTAGCAAAACAGGGACAGAAGATACTTGCTTAAAAGAGAGACTACCAAAAAATAGAGCAAACATAATTCTTGATGTTAACACATAAGAAGTGTTCACTATAAAATCAGGACTAAAACACGGATGACTACTATCAATAATCACTTTTATTCACATATAGCTGATTCACTTTGTTGTACAGCAGAAACTATCATAATATTGTAAAGCAATTATACTCCAATAAAAAATCACTTTTATTAGAATTATAATAGAATTCCTAGACAATGTAGTTGGAAGGAAAGGAGAGAAGGAGGGAAGAGGGATGGAGGAAAGAGAGAAAAGAAATAAAAGGGATGTGGTATAAAGATTGGGGAGGGAAAAACAAAGCTATCTTTAAATATAGGTATTTTAATTATCTACATAGAAAATCCAAAAGAATACACAAACAACGGTTCTAATAAAAGAGTTCAGCAGAGTTGCAATATACAAAATCAATGTATAATTATCAAAAGTATTCCTATTCACCAGCAACCAAACAGAACACATAATTTCTAAAAGACATAAACTTAAAGCAATGACTTGCAAAAAAATAATATAGAATATATTTTTCACGTTAAGGCAGGGGAAAATTTCTTAAAAAGGAAAAAAAGAGCACTACTAATAAAAGAAAAAGATTGACAAACTGGACTACATTAAAATTAAGAACTTCTGTTCATCAGAAAAAAAACACCATGAAAAGGTAATCATTATCAGCAATACATATATATGCAAAAGTCTTGTCTTTAGAATACATTAAAATTCTTAGAAGTCAATTTTCAAAAATCAGGTCAATTTTTTTTTTAATGGGCAAAAGACTGGAAACAAAGAGGATATCCAAATAACCAGTAAACAAATGAAAGGTGCTCACCATCACTATTCATCAGTGAAAAACAAATTAAAACCATAATGAGATATAACGGCACATTCATTAGAATGACTAAAATTAAAAAGGCTGACCATACCAAGTGTTCACAAGTAGATAGTGGGTAATTAGCAAATAAAAAGCTAAAACACCCTGGGGAGGACAGTAACCTAACATGACCACTCTGGAAAACTGTATGTTCTGAAACTGAACTGAAATTTATATATACATAACCCAAGACTCAGTAATCCTTCCTCTTGGTACACATCCAGTAGAAAGGCAAACTTATGGGCACCAAAATGCAAGTTCACAGCAGCATTATTTATTTTAGCTCAAAACTGGAAGCAACTCAAATATCCATCAACTATAGAAAACATACACAAATCGTGGTACACACATTCATTGGGATACTATAAAAAAAATTAAAATGTACCAACAACTACTACAGACAACAACAAGGACAAATTTCACATGTCGGTTGTTATCAAAAGAAGCCAGGCATGGAAAGAATTCATTCTGAGTTCAAAAACGGCAAAACGAAATCTGTAGTGTTAAAGCCGAGAGAGGGGGCTGTCTTTTGAAGGGGGAGACCTGAAAAGGACAACAGCAAAGCTTCCAAAGTACAAGCGACGCTCTATATCTTAATCCGGGTGATAGTTACATAGCTGTGTTCACTTTGTGAAAATTCACTGAGTACTTACAATTTATGTACATACTTTTTCTGTATATATAACTCAAAAGTGGGCTTTAAAAAACATCATATACCAAAGTGACAAAAAATGATGATAGTCTAGAAATAAACCTAATTGAAGAACTGTGTAAGATCTGTATGGAGAAAACCTGACAATATGATTATAAATGTCACAGAGAAGAGAAAAGGCCAAGAAGAAGAAAAAGCTAGTGTATTCTGAAGGGAAAGATCTGTACCACCAGATTCAAGACTTTATGACAGTGATTCAGGCATTAGGGAATTTAGTGCAGGGAGAGATAAGCAGTTCAACACATCAAGAGCTCAGAAACAAATCATATGTATGAAGAAACATAACATATGACAGAGGAGGCATTACAGGTCTGGGAGTAGAGTTTTCCCTCAATGAGGTTAACTTCCTCAGTGGTCCAGTGGTTAAGAGTCTACCTGTCAATGCAGGGGACACAGGTTTGATCCCCGGTCCAGGAAGATCCCACGTGCCGAGGGGCAACTAAGCCTGTTCCCCACAAATACTGAGACCCTGCTCCCCAATAAGAGAAGCCTCTGCAATGAGAAGCCTGTGCCTCACACTAGAGAGGAGCCCCCAGTCGCCGCCAACTAGAGAAAACCCACTGGAGCAGTAAGGACCTAGCACAGCCAAAAATAAATAGATTTTAAAATATTTTCCTTTTTGAAAAGATAAGTGAGGTTGACACACTTATTACTCATTTCAAAAAGAAATAAGATTAGATTCCCTATCTCATATCATATTCAGAAATAAATTCCGTTACGAATTAAAGACCCAAATATGAAAAGTAAAAACCTGCCAAATATTTAGGAGAAAATACAGAAGAAGAGATTGATGACTTTTGGATAGATGAGGGTATGTTAAATAAGACTGAAAAAGCACAAATGATAAAGGAAAGAAGTGAAAAATATGATGGCATTAAAACTGATGTTCAATGAAAGACATTATCAAGTAAAAAGGCAAAGTAGATACCCATAACATATACATACTGACAAAGGATCAGCATTCTTAATATAGAGAGATTCCAATAAATCTAAAGGAAAAAGTCAAACAACCAACTTTTTAAAGATGCAACCCAAGAAGATAAAATCTGAATATGCAATTAAATATGAAAAGATGCTGCTTGTGGGCTGCAGCTACCATCTGGTCCACTAGACCACTGCAGTGCTGTGGGCACAGGGCCCCGGATTTCAGCTCTGCCACTAACTGGATATGATCATGGGCAAAGGTCTTACACATCAGTCTCAGTTTCCTCACTTGCAAAATGGTGAGATACATGGTTCAGTGGGTAATTATAATTCTTTCAATGGGTAATTCATAAAGATCAAATTAAATTATTAAATGTACATTAATTTAAAATATATATATCAAGCAACCTACAGATCCAAAGTTATTACCATTATCACTATTAACTGAATGTAAGTTTTCTATGCATTAATGCTTTTCTGACAACTTGTTAACTTTCCTGTTAATAGGAAAGGAGAAGGTCTGCGTGAAAGCATAAAACAAAAGCAGTGGGAAAAAATATTCAGTAGCATATTTCATGCACCACACCGTTCTTGCACGTGAACTCCCTGACCCACCACTGCAAGTGTTAACAGCAGGTCTGCTTGACAATGTTCTGTCACTCATTCATTCCTTCATCAAAACTTTTTAATATATACTATGTGTCAGGCCCTGTTAGCTCCTAAACAAAAAACATAGATTGAAAAGAAAAAAAAAGACAGAGATAAGAGTTTTTCCTCACAGGGTCCAGTATGGAAGGCATAACAAACAATAATCAATCCTACAATAAATTAATTAATGAGTGCTTTGCTAAGTACATCAAAGATAAAATAACAGTGTGCACAAGTGCATGTAACAAGGGAACTGACCCAGCCCAAGAGGTCAGGGAAGGCTTTCCTGAGGAAGCGACGTTTAAGCTGAGACCTGAGTTATATCAAAGTCTCATTCTTGGATGACACAAGCCATTAAGATCATCCATCTAAATCCTCAGCTCTCATATGTCCTCACCCAACAAACTTCTGCTTTTAATTTTACTTCCAACACAGATCTACCTGGGAGGAGAAAATACATTGATCCCTGTCTCAAGTATTCTGGCTTGCTTGGCACTTACACCTCTAATTCTAAATCTAAACAAGTCGTTTTCTGAGCTATGGCAACATATGGGGCAGTATGGAAGTGAGAAAACAGACCCCCAGTTCTAATACCATATCTGTCCCTGTGACCTTTCAAGCCTATCAACTGAACTACCTGAGACTCCACTTCGTGAGGCACGAACATCTCTGAGATCCCTTCCAGCTCTGATCATTCAAAGAGCTAAATATAAGACAGGGGCGAGGAGGTCACGTCTCTACCTTTGGCTTTCTTGGTAGCAAAATGACGGACTGGTACGGCGGCATAGGCCATGTATTGCCCACGGTCATCCTGTCTTCCTCTCACTGTCTGCAGCGTGACTTCTGAAACAGTTCTGGTCAAGGCTGTAAGGGAGCTGCAAAAGGCAGGGTGGACCAAGCGGAAGCACCTTAAACCCAAGGCCATGACTGAAGACAATCCTTGTGAACATCCACTAAAAAGAACAAGACAAAAAGGAGATCTAAGTAAAACAGACTCTACTGTTAGTGCAACTTCAGAAAATAATCTGTACCAGTTAGCAAGCAAATCCTATCAGCAGAGCCTATCGATCCGTTTTGACCTGTGTGCTAGGTCAGGGGTTCCCAACCCGTACCAGTTTGTGGCCTGTTAGGAACTGGGCGGCAGGGCAGGAGGTGGGCAGCAGGTGAGCCAGCAGAAGCTTCATCTATATAACAGCCGCTCCCCAGCCCTCACATTGCCGCCTGAGCTCCGCCTCCTGTCCGATGAACCGCAGCGGTAGATTCTCACAGGAGCATAATAAATGTCATGCGCTTGAATTAACCTGAAACCAACCCCACCCCCTGCCCAGCTCCGGTCAGTGGGGAAACTGTCTTCCACACAACCAGTCCCTGGTGCCAATAAAGGCTGGGGACCGCTGTACTAGATAACTTAAATACATTATCTCCAGCCCTCCTCCTAACAGCTGTACAAGGATGTATGATTAGCCCCATTTTATAGGACAAAGAAACTAAGGCTCACAGAGATTTAAATATCTAGCTCACAGTCTGTAGGACGCCAAATCGCCACGCTCTTTCCACTACAGCAAATGCCAATTAGTACACAGGGAAGAGAGTTAAGTAAATGCATAGCAGCCTAAATCCTTAATGATGGTAATTAAACCCTTACAGGAAAAAAAAAGCACAAAATCTTGATAAAGTTACACTATAAAGAGTAACGGCAGAGCACTGGAAGAGAATTTTACATAAAATCATTTCAACAGGCATAAAATGACTGGAAAATTCACACAACAGCATTTAATTAAAATTTTCTTTGGTTCCTTATGCACTGATTACCAATTAGAATGCACTTTAATGTGAGTCTGAAGCATAGCTGAGGTTTGAGGTCTTCCATGTTATAGAACTAAAGCTCTGGAAAATGCCACCCTCCTCGGTGTTAACACAAGTTACACACGATCCCTCTGAGGTTTTTGACCGTGGAAAGACGCTAAAGCCTACAGCTACCCCTGCGATAGAACAAGAGTTCTAGCTTACGGGCAAATCCGGGCCTTCCCCTTTGGCTCAGTGGTAAAGAATCTGCCTGCTAATGCAGGAGACACAATTTGATCCCTGGTCTAGGAAGATCCCCTGGAGAAGGAAATGGCAACTCACTCCAGTATTCTTGCCTGAGAAATTCTATGGACAGAGAAACCTGCTGGGTTCCAGTCCATGAGGTCGCAAAGGCTCAGACACAACTGATCAACTAACATACAGACACACATTACAGTCTGAGTAAGAGCATGGGTTTTGCAGCCAGAAGGTCTAGAATCCAAGCCCATCTCCACCACTACCCAAATGCCTCTGAACGTCACTGCACCTTGACTTCCTCAACTGTAATAAAATGGAGATAATTATAGTTATTTCTTAGGGTGGGGAAAAATAAATTAATGTAAGTAAAACACGTGGCACAGTGTCTAACAGACAACAGGAGTCCCCCCTAAAGAGTATCTATTGACAGCTATCACCTTTCCTTTCAAAAACTTCCATGCCAGAGTCAGACACAACAAAGAAATCTTTCATGTCATTACTAAAGTACAAGGAAGCCAAAAGTCAGTCATATCTGGATATGAATTTCAACTTGTGGCTATTCATTTCATTTTCTGGGCATCATTTTCCTCATTTGTAAAGTGAGAAAAAAAAAATCCTGTTTTAAAATAAAATGAAGTAGTGAGTGTATTTAACAACCAAGTATAGTGCTGGGAATATGGCACCTGCTGTAATTATTACTTTTTTTTTTTAAGAAAAGCAAATGAGTTGCACAAAGGCAAATAATTTCTCCCGATGGAATTTTTAATAGCAAGAGATGCTAGATTTCAATGATCGGTGTATGTCAGTAAAAACAGATCTAGATAAAAAAGTAAAAAATGTTTCCTCTTTTTAATCATTATCAATAGCTACTATTAGATGTCAGGCCCGGCCTGCTTGCTTTACCCATAGTATTCATTTAATCCTCTCAAAAATGCTACAAAGAAAAGTATAATAATCTCCTCTTTATAGATGTAGGAACTCAGGCTCTAAGAGACTGTCATTGACCAAGAGGCTGGAGCTAATAGCTTTGCTCTGTAGCAGCAGCACTGTTCGCAGATTTTGCCTCTAAGTGAGGTTTCTATATCTAGGTTTTTGCCTAATATAGCCAATGCCTAACCCATACTTATATCCAAATATGGCTGTATAATAAGGTGCTTTTTTTTTTTTAATCTACGGGGTCTCAATCTGGCTGTTCCATTTAAGACAGGTTTCCTGGTGTTCCTGTTGCAGGTCATAATACCAATCCACAAAGCAACAGGAAATCAAAATGGGTTAGAAATAAACAACCTTTGACAGAAAACTCAACACCCAAAAGCGGACCCAGTACACGTGAACCGGAAGACGACTCTATAAATAAACCACATTGCTGAAATGCTTAAGACATAGATTTTAAACTGCACAGAAGTCAGTAAACTTCAAAGTGGAAATTCAATAAAGGCAGCCCCTTGGACTCTTTACCTTAAGAATATTCATATCAGCACTCAGTTCAGCACAGAAGTAAAGACAAGGAAAGGAACCATCATGCAAGCCCAAGTATTCTACAACAAAATTAACCTACAGTCGGAAAAAAATGCAGCAGGAAACATCTGACCTTTGGATGAAGTCTTGAACTGAGATGTCAGTTTGCCCACTTACTAGCACTGTGAACTTGGGGAGATCAACCTCTCTGAGCTACAGTTTCTACTGCACCTTTTTCATGGTGATATTAACGAGCCTTTAAAAAGGTAATTATAACAATAATAATGAAACAATAGCTTATAATTTTATAATAACTATGTGCCAGAAACAGTTCTAAGTGCTGTATTGCATACATTAACTCATTTGAGCCTCATAATAACCCTAGGAGATAAGTACTTATTATTATACCCATTTTATGGATAAAGACACAGAGGCAAAGATAAACAATTTGCTCAAGATTTTAATCCAGGCACTTTTGTTCCACAGTCTGTGCTCTTAAGCACTATCCTATACTGTGTACATAAAACAGTGCAATTACTGGCATTATTTTTCAAACTGTTACATATTAAAAAAAAACAAAACAAAACCTGAGGCATGTATTCTTTATCCAAAGCTGAGATTCTCAAAACTTGAATTTTCCCACTTTTCATAGAAGGTGCATTTTAACTTTGGAAAGAACTAGATGAGGAAGACAAAGTCCTGGTTTATCCACCATCCCAGCAACCCCTACAAATTCAGTTGTGTATTAGTTTATAACATGTAGATTCTTATAATATGGGTGTGCACACACAGGTCCTTGTTGTATATAAAATACTTTCACATGTATTACCTGATTCCCACAATAACCAGGCAACATTGTGATTACCGCTCACATTGTACAAATTGGTAAACTGGTCTTTCATTTCCTTGAATAATTTCCTGCACCAGGGTCTTCAAAAATACTGTTGAATCTGCTTGGAATGATATTCCCTCACCTCGTTAATGAACTTCTCTTTCAGACTTCAGCTGAAGCACCACTTCCTCAGAGGATGCCTTCCTTGGCTGTTTTCTCTAGCCCAACAGGTCAAATGTCCTATAACCCCCTTTCTTAGTACCATGTGCTTTTTCATGGCACTTACTTTAACAATATCAGTTAATATTTGTGTAATTATTTGATCAGGCATCCTGGTGGCTGGGTGGTAAAGAATCCGCCTGCCAATGCAGGAAATGCGGGTTCAATCCCTGGGCTGGGAAGATCCCCCAGAGAAGGAAATGGCAACCCACTCCAGTATTTTTGCCTGGGCAATCCCATGGACAGAGGAGCCTGGTGGGCCACAAGCCATTGGGGTCACAAAAGAGTCGGACATGACTTAGCGACTAAACAATAATTATTGGATCATTGTCTTATTCCCGCCATAAGAACTGACTACAAGGATTAAACTATGGTTGTCTTGTTCAAGGCTGCATCCCCAGTCCCTGGCACAGTTCTGAACATAGGAGACACTGAATAAATGTGAAGAATACATGAGTGAAAGTCTAGATTGTCCTTCCTCAAAGTCATATTGCTAGCACCAAAACAGAAATCAAAGCCTCAGACAGTAGGTCCTGGGTTCCACTCCCCAACACTGCTTCCATGATCTCTTGGTTAGCCAGATTTTTCACTTAGAGATAAGAGGTCAAATTCTTCTCTAAATTCAGCAACAAGTGAAGGCACTTACAGTATATGACTATAGGCAGGATCATGTCCCTGACACAGCCAAAGGATGGGACACTTGAACAGGTGGAGAAACAGCTTTTGTCTAAGGAGGGCTGGTTTCCGATATTCCTATCTCATTATTCCCTGCCCATCATCCTTTTTAGATTCATAACTACAGTGAGTCCCCTACATACAAACTCTGTTCCGAATGTTTGTTCATAAGCCCGATTTTTTAGTAAGTCCAACAAAGTTAGCCTAGGTACCCACCTAACACAACCAGCTATATACTACTATACTGCAATAGGTTTATAATACATTCCCATCTTTGAAAGTTCACAACTTGAAGGTTTGTATGCAGGTAACTTACTGTACCTTGTATTCAAAAAGCACCTGTGGAAGCTGACCTGAGACTTCTATTAAGTCATTTCTTCTACCCAGGTTTTCTTTCCTCAACTATAATACAGAGGATCAGGCCAGGTTTTCATTCTTTCTAAGTATGAAGCTCCCCAAGATTCTGAGAATGCAATAGGGTGAGTGAAAGATAAAATGCAACCAACTTAGAGACGACCTGGGAAAGAGCGCTGGTTCCAGCACTTCATCGGTAGGTAACTTTAGGTAGGTCAAAATCTCTGGGTCCCAATCTCACCTGTAGATGACAATACTATTCATCAGGGTTAGTGGGGCGATTCAATGAGCCAAGAGTTGCAGAAGCACTTTATAAACACAGAAGGGCAACTGAAATGACAACTGTCTTGCCACTGGACGGCACAGAGTAATGGTTAAATGGTGAGACTTTTAAATTTGGGCGCCATCACTCAATCCGCCTGTAATGCGGGAGGCCTGGGTTCGATCCCTGGCTTGAGAAGATCCCCTGGGGCAGGGAAAGACTACCCACTCCAGTATTTTGGCCTGGATAATTCCATGGACTGTATAGTCCGCGGGGTCGCAAAGAGTCGGACACGACTGGGCGACTTTCACTTTCACTTAACTCATAGCGACACGACCCTGATTTTATTTCTCCGAGTTTCCATTTCTCCAGCATACGGGATTTAAAAAAAAAAAAAAAAACCTATTCCCACAAGATTGTTCTGAAAATTAAATGTCCCTGCCAGTTAGCAGGCTACTAAATAGCTGCTACTATTTAGTAAACCCGGCTCTCATTCTGAAGGTCCCTAGGTGATGAAATGAGCCCCGCCCCCAACCCGTGAGACTCGCTCGGATCGACAGGTCCGCCCTCAGCCATAAAGGTCAAGCCGGATTTTAATGGAACGCGTCGGGGACCGTGTTTAGGCCCCCTTAATGTATCCCAGAGATCCCTGAGTAGAGGTCTCCGGGACCCGGACCCCGCGCGCGCCTCCAGGCCGTGCTGAGGCCACTCACCAACTAGCGCCCAGGTTACTAGAAAAAGACTCGCGCGACCACTGCGACGGCTGCGGCGGCGGCGGCGCGGGCGTCGTGACGTCATGGGGCGGCGCAGGCGTAGTGCGTCACGGGCGGCCTGGCAGCTTGCGGAGTTGAGGTGTATACGCCTTGAGAGGGCCATCAGGACGCGGAGTCGGGACCTGCTTCGGGGGCATGAACAGAGGGGACGACGCCGAGATCGCGAGGTGAGTCTGGCCGGGGCAAGCCCCCGGCTCGTAAGCGCCAGCCACGCGAGGGGTTCCCTAGAGGAGGCTGCTGTAACGAGACTGCTTTTCAGGCCCCGCCCCGGATTGTCCCGCCGCTGGCCCGGAAATAACAAGCCGAGTAATGACCCACCGCATCTGGGAATTTCGGGCGAGGGATTGGGAGGCAGGGATTCCAGACTTGAGCCCACCGTTACCATTAGCTTTTTAGGAACAAGCGCCTTTGCTTCTCTGCTCTTCAGTTTCCCCAGATGACTGTTCGTGGCTTCCGGGATAGTTGTATGTCAGCGTGGTGCAGAGCAGGGGCGGGGGACGAGGGGAGGTAGGGGAAAAAGCGTTTTGTGAACTCTTAATATAAGAGGTTGTCGCCATTACAAACCCAAAGGATTTTGATTGTCGTATGCCATCCTGATCGCTTACCATACTTAACCGTTCCTAGGAAAGTCCTGTGCTGAGCTGTCACGTATGTTGTCATATTTAAACCTCATAAAAAACTCTTAAGTTAGGGATAATTCTGCCCCTTGTAGGAAGAAAGAAGAATCTGAGGCTCAGAGTGGGGAAGTGGCTTGCTTCATTCATTCATTCTGTAACTACTAAGCATCAGCCAGGAGCCAGGCAGTGTGGTGAGTGCCAGAGATGGAATCCTCAAAATAGGCAAGGCCCTGCCTTCTAGTAGCTTACATTCTAGTGAGGGAAGGGAAAGGTGAAACAGTATATGACACATTTAACTAGTATTGTATGGAAAGAAAAAGGTAGCTCTCATAGAGACGAACAAGATGCTCTGCTCTATGAGGGAAAACTTTTCTAAGGGGGGTACATTTAAGGGGTGATCATGACTTACTAAAGTTACAGAATAACTGGGTGCAAAAGCCAGGATTTGAGTGCCTATCTTTTGGCCCTATATCCTGCACTCTTCCCACTAAAAATGGTTGCCTGGTGTGATATTAACCCCTGTTGGTATTGTTCCTGTTTTTAGACATGAGAAAATCAGAAGGTTCTGTTATTCAAGTTTCATATCAAATGTCATCTCCCATAGAGGTCTTCCCTTTCTGCTAATTCTAAAGTAGTCCTTTCCTAGTCTCCTTGTCAAATCCCCCTGCTTAACTGTGTTTGGAGCACTTAGCATAAGTTACATCTTGACTACTTATTTTGCTTTTGCCTTATCCTGCTCCTCTTTCAAATATAAGCATCTAGAGGGCTTTGTCCCTAGTACCAAGGCACTGCCTGGAAAATAGGGGGTCTGTAAAAAAATTTTTTGAATGAATGATCTGTAAGAAAGTAAAAGGAAAGCAGGGAGAAGACAAAATGTTTCTCCTCTCCAGTTTTCACACCTGGGACTCTATTTATGCCTGTTATACCTTTCTCCGAGGAGGGAGCAAGAACCGTGGCTTGTTCATTTCTATGTTTTCATAGCCGAGGTTTTAGCAGTTAGTAGTTACTTGACAGACATAACAGAACGGATTGAACATGTGAGTGAGAGAAGAAGAAAAATACCCTCACGTGTAGGTGTATGTGTGTGTTAGTCAGTCATGTCCAGCTCCTTTAAGACCCCATGGACTATAGCCCACCATGCTCCTCTGTCCATGAAATTCTCCAGGCAAGAATACTGGATCAGGTTGCCGTTCCCTTCTCCAGGGGATCTTCCTGACCCTGGGATCAAACTCCGGGTCTGCCATATTACAGATGGATTCTTTACCATCTGAGCCACCAGGGAACCCCTGTGTCAGGGTAGATAGACACATTTAACAAACAATTACCTGAAGGTTACTGTGGGCTTACTGTGTGCTAGCCTGTATAAGCTGTGCTGAGATAAATAAAAGGTAATGGCAATGTTTGATATGTCAGCTGTTGTTATTAAGATGCAGCACTGATCTCGGAGGCACTCCTAGTTTTATATGACACATTTTTTCTAGCAGGGAGTTCTAAAGTCTGGCACAGCCTGCCATTTTCCCAGTCCTTTTATTTTTTCTTTCTCTGCCACATTATACATTAAAGCTTGATTTTACATCTGTGGTCTCATTTTTGGTCTCCTCAACAGTTTTTAAGTTATAAGCAGGGTGAGGTGTATTATGTAGAGATGAGGAGACTGAAGCTAAGAGAGAAGCGGCTTCCTATGGAAAAGCCAAAAGTTGAAACCTGGCTTTCTGAGCTCAAGGTTCTTGCTCTTTCCATTACTGTCTCCATCATAACCCTCATCCTCCTTTTGTGACTGTGCAGTGAGACATTTCAGGAACTAAACCCGGTAATAATTTAAGGTAAAATTAATTGAATGCTTGTCTAGGTGCCATGCCATGTTCTTAATGTTTTTGGTGTACCACCTCAGTGAATTGGCACAGCTCTTAATTATCTCAATTTTACAGATGAGGAAACTTAGACATCAAGTGGCTAAAATAACTTGCCCAAGGTTGTAGAACTAGTAAATGGGGGGACTGGAGTAACCAAGGAGAAAGTTAGTCTCTTCTTCCCAGTGTCTCCCAAAATATTAAACATTATAAGAGCTAATTGATTACTTACTGTTGTTCTTCCATACCCATACTCTTAAGTGAAAGACTCTTTCTGGTGGTTTCCAAGGCTTATTTTGGGTGACAGTTGTTGAACTGGTATATCATGTAGTGACAGAGACTTTGGCCCCCTGCCCAGTCAACCTCTGGCTTCAGAAGAGAAAAACTAGTTTCTGCACACAGAACCACGCCTCTTTCACCTAAAATGGAAGCTTTGCTCTCTAGCTGCTGAAGGAGCTGTCCCAAGGGAACTGGTGCTGGGGCCCTGGTTGTGGAATAGCTGAGGGCTTTGAAGGACTGCCCAGGACGTGCCCTCCTTGAGTAAATGTTTGTTGAATTGACTTTGAAGCCTCATGTTCACAAAGCGTTGCTCCTTTCCTGTCTGAATGTTCACGTTTCCTTTAGTATTTCATAGGGATTGATGGAAGCAGAAACCAAAACTCTTCCCCTGGAGAATGCATCCATCCTTTCAGAGGGCTCCCTACAGGAAGGGCACCGGTTATGGATTGGCAACTTGGACCCCAAAATCACAGAGTAAGTCTAAGATATTTTAACTCATTGCCTACAGAATTGGGATGCTCGTGGTGATGATGTTAAGAAGAATTTTCAAGGGCTATTGCATATATTTTGACCCTGATAATTATGTTTTAATTATCTTTAAAGGGAATGTGATACTGTTTTAGCCTTTTCTTATATTTGGACTCTTCTACTGCAAAGGCACAAACTTGAATACCTTTTAAACCATATATTACTTCTTTTTCCTGCTTGCCTAAAGATGTTCTCTTAGTTTCAACTATTTTGAATCTTTGTACCCAGTGACGAGGAAGTTATATCCTAAAACCAGCCATAAGCGTACTTTTGTCACCTCAAATGAAGGAACAAACAGAAGTCTCAGTATTTTCACAAAAAGGCAGAGAGATACAACTTGACTCTAATTCATGTTAAGCAGCCATGGAACCAAGGAAATTCATTAGGGATCTTAGAAATACCCCAGTCCCTTTGGTGTTCATTCATTCATTCATTGAATGATTTGAGTGCCCACTGTGTGCCAAGTGGCATCCTAGGCAATTTTCAAAGTTTTTAAATCTGAGGAGCCATCTCTTGTTAAAGTACAGAACCTATATGTAGAAGAAAAGCTCGAGAGCTACTCTGATTAAAGGGAGGACAAGGTGCTTCCAGTGCCTTTTGACAACAGCCACCCTTTCTTGGGCAGTCACAGGGCTCTGTGGACAACTCTTGAAAAACCTCTGATCTGTTCCATCTCTTTTATCCCACAGCATGATGAAACTGAGGCCCAAGAAACGGAAGTGCCTTGTCCATGGTGACAAAACTGATTGACTTGTTTCAACTCCCCACTCTTTCCATTGTAGATATTGTAGTGGAAGGGAGTCTCTTAGCAGAGAGAATTGAGAGATTTTTCATTAAGTAGGGATTGGTGGTGGTTGGTGGCAGGAGATCAAAGGGTAAGTGGATTGAGCTGTACAGGGTCAGTGCTTAAAGCAAGCATGAGGTATATCCTCAGTGCTGGAAGTCACTTCCTTGGGAATGGTGTTAAAAGCATAGGGAGAAGAGACAAGGGAATCTGCTTGTTTGAGTCTGGGGCTCAGAGGAGGTGTATAAAAGGGTTGGGATTATGAGAGAGGAAAGAGATGTAAACTGATACATAAAGATAATGACAGTGTTCGGCTTCTTAAACCTGCTCAAGCTCAAATTGGTCCAGTGTAGGTGTTGTTGGGTCCCTCTAGGAAATACGATGGTATTTAAGATGGGTTGCCCCCTAATTATGGTACCTTGGTCACCAGGGCCCTTCAGTACAGACTATGCATTTATTTTGGCTCTCTTTATGGCTTGCAGCCTTGAGGATGAATGTGTGAACCTGCCCAAGCTCTCAGTTAAAGAGGAAATTAAACAGAGAAGCCGTTTCCATCATCTAAAACCCAAGCTGTGAGAGGATGCTCCCAAGAGTGGTTTCCATTCCCACCTCTGCTTGTCTGAATGGAAATCTGGAGCGTGGAAACAGTGTCCATTGTTTTGGCTGCGATTCCCTGTAATGATACTCTAGTTCTAATTGTATCCTGCTGCTTGTCAGGAAGGTTCAAATGGGCAACTGCCACCTCAGTTTATGTCATAAGTGGGAGTATATGAGTGTTTTCTTTAGTAGGAGCATGAACAGGAACACTGCATCAAAAACTCTTCCCCTGATATCTCTGCTCTTTTTATATCCATTACTCAAGATATCAAGGACCAGACAACAAATCAGGGCCTTGCTGGCTCCTCCTGTGGCTTCCTACCTCTGTATCACCAGAGATCATTTCTACTGTCTTTCATCTATGGATTCCTTATCTTAAAACATTTTCTCAGTTAAACAAACTGATCTGTTAAAATTTATTCTTTAAAGATATAACTACCAGTTGTAACTTATCAAATGCTTAGTGTTGCTTCATTGGGTTTACTTAATTACATCAAAGAAACCTAACATTGTAGTAAGATAGGTTTTATCTTGTAGACATACATGATTTTCTTCCAAGTTTCTGAAGTACGTAAACTTCCAGATCCTGTTCCTTTCAAGGTGGGTGATGATGTACCTAGCCTAATTATTAAAGTACAGTCATTCCCAAACACTGAAGAATGTTGAAACTTGTATGAGCATGTGGTACCCAGCTTATAGTTCAGTCTCAGAAAATATTATTTGAATCCAAATCTCTAAAAATTCTAATGACTCTCGACGATTTTTCAAAGCAGCCTCCAGTTTTTGTAATTAATCGGACACCACCACAGGTCTCTCCTAGTTCCTGCTGTTTTCCCTCTTGACAGACCCTTCTTGTCTCTCTCTCCTACACAAGTCCCTACTCTGTCTCATCCCTCTTCCTTTTATCATATACACTGACTTAAATATCCCTCCTACACAAATGTTCTCTCACTTCTTGTTAGAAGACAAGTGATGGTATGTATTTACTGTTATGAGTGGTTGGCAGTTAAAGCAAAAAACTTTTCCACTCAAGTTTTTCAAAGTTTACTTCGTAATAATTCTGTTCATCCTACATATGTGTGCCCGGTATTAATTCGAGTCCTGTTCAAGTTACAGTAGGATGTCCATCAGCCTCTTCTCAATAGAATGTGCATTGCTGACTGACTGTGAGCACTCTGATATTCTGTTTACACTGTAGCTGCAATACCAACCACTTTAGGACCACGTTCCATGCCAGCAGTGTCTGTAACGATCTGGACTTAAAGGAATGATAACATACTCTTAGTTTTAGAGGTAACAGGTTGCATGCCTCTGTTCTTTCCACTTCATTCTGATTCCTCTCAACTATACTGTGTCTGATCGTTCTTAACCTGTAAAGTGAGAGTAAGACTGTTCAACTGAATGATCTGAAAATGTCTTCCAGCTCTAATATTTCATTAGTTTCTCTTATTTAAGCTTGTAGAAATCTCGTGATGCAAGTGGAACAGATAAATGTTTCCCTGTTTTGTAAGTAAAGAAAGGTTAGGAGTTGACTCAGTTCACTAAAGCAGTTAATGATAGAACTGATTTCCCAGCACCTAATTTAGTTCACTTTGCACAAATATTCTACTAGTCCACATAACTGGACACTCATAACCTAAAGCATCCTATTCTAAGTTTTTCAGTGTAAGGACTTCTTTTAAATGTTGTGGGGCACAGTCTAACCGTAAGAGTAAAAATAACAACTTTAAACATTACTACTAGTGCCTTCAGTAGAGAAACTGAACAAGTTACTGTCTTTAGACATTATCTATTTTCCATACCGTGGTTTCTTCTGAAAGGGTTAATACTGCTTTCTTTTTCAAATACCAAATGTGCAGTATAGAAAGCCAAATTAATAGCCACTGCATTATGCATAAGTATGAAAGAACAAAGACAGCTGAAATCATAAAAGAAAGAATATTCCTGATGGAGGGTGGATCATAAATAAAAGAATACCAGTAGTGGGTGAGTAGAACATCAGGAAGACCTTTTTGACTAAGACCTTTTGTTAGTCAGTCATTCATATTCCAACTGTTTGCAACCCCATGGACTATAGCCCGCCAGGCTCCTCTGACCATGGAATTCTCCAGGCAAGAATACTGGTGTGGGTAGCTAACCATTCCCTTCTCCAGGGGATCATCCCAACCCAGGGATTGATCAGGGTCTCCTGCATTGCAGCCATTTTCTTTACCATCTGAGCCACTAGTGAAAGGGAAATTTGAATACTAAATGATAATGAAAATAGTTGGAGAGAGAGAATGCCATCAGATTGAGACAGGATCTGTAAAATTTATTCAGACAAGTTTGAATTTCATGCATCAATGGAAGAGACTCATGTGGGTGTTTGGCAGGAGACTGACATCATGAAAGAGACGTTTTAGTAGGAAAATCGGACACTAGTGGTAGGATGAACAAGAGGGGCAACAGCAAACATGCTGATTAGCTACAGACCTTCTATTAATATCACCCAGATAGAGACTGTGAACTTGGAGACCGATGGGTGGAGTATGAGAGATGAGGGAAGTGACTGAACAGGAGCTAAGAGCTGAAGACGATCACATTGTTTCTTGCCTGAGAAATGGAGAAGAATCATGTCCACATTGGCCAGTGGAATAGCTGGAGAGGGGCATAGTTTGTGAGGAGGAAGAGGTCAGCCTGGGGTATATTAAGTAAACTTAAAAGCAGAGGAGAGGCACCTGGATGGAAATGTCCTTCTGATACAGACTTTCAGAGCCAAATGCGAGGGATCATAAGTTTACGAGCATGTAAGAACCGTACTTCCCCCTGAACACACCCCTGATTCTCTCAGCTCTTTCCTTATATTTCCTCTGTGACCCATGCTGCTGCTTATGGTTTGCTTTGCATGAAACAGCCTTTACTATTTGCTTATTCAAATTGGAAACAAAGTAAGACCATTTAATAACATATAGGGCATAGACTATAGACACCCACCAACCCACCACATAATAATTTCTGTAAGTTCATAGTTTTCTCTAAAACAAATTGGGCATTAAAATCAATCTTCAGTGTCATTTCGTTGACTTCCCAGTACCTGCAGCATTGCATTAAATTCCCTCACTTAGCACACATCTCTCACAACCTGTCCCTCTGCCTGCCTGTCAGCCTTCTCTCTTACTATACAAGAGCTCACACCCTCTGCCGTTGGATTGGTCTCTCTTGCTGTTGTGTCTTCGCGCAGGGTATTTAACCACCACCTTCCCTATGCAGTAGGTCCTCTTCATCTGTGTGCTCACATACATGCCTCTGTGTACAGGCTTCATGCTGTTTTAAAATTGTTTGACTACATATCTCTCTCCTCGAACCAGAATGTCAGGTCTTTGAAGACAGAGACCTAGCTGTGCTCATCTGTATAGTTAGTCCAAGTGCCTAGTACAGTTCTTGACACATGAGAGGTGTCCATCTTAATCCAGTTCATACAGATTAATTCCCTCCGTGCCATCAGGCAGAAAGGCCATTTTAAAAACCCATTTCAGACAACACTAATTGTGGTGCAGAAATATCTGTGGGGCTGGTGTACCCGTTCTTCAGCTCCTGAGGCTGCAGGGCCCACATTTCATTAAGTGAAGCAGGGCTCTGATAGCAGATGAAAGTGCTTGCAGATGTGAAAGCAAGAGTCTTCAGGCTTTTTTCACTATCAGAGCTTGCAGCCCCCATCTCCAGGAAGCAAAATAGTAAACACTTCATTCCTTTTGTTTCGGTGTTCCGATAATTTCAAGAAATTATCAAACAAGAAAAGAAATCCCGGAGAAGTTGAAAGACACGAACCTAAGCAGATGTTCCTGGAATCTTAAGGTCGCTCTTCTCGGGCAAAACGCATTTGTTAGCTTTTCAAAGAATAATCTGTCGGAGGTTTGTTTTTTTTTTTTTTTTCCCTGAGTAAATTAAAATTCATTTCCTAGGAAATGCCGATCGCCTTACCTTCCTGCTATTAAGCAGAATGGAGCTAATGAAAAGATGACTAGCCCACAGTGGCCTTAGGTTGTTTGAAAAAAAAAGGTTTGACCCACCATTCATGGCAACTGGTGCTGCATTAAGGTTTGAATGGGTGTGGTAAGTGGAAGATGCAGCTGTGAATGAAAGATCCTGAGAGATTCTTCCAGCCCATCTGTCTATGCTTTTGAGAGATTTACCCTTGCCGTAAGCATGTTCAGAAAATCAAGTAAAACCAGAAATTTGCACTTTAGGTGTCTCCCTTGCCCCTAAAGAATCACCTCGTATATTATCACTAGCAGTATCGAGGTATTGAGATGGGAATTAAGAATTTGGAAACTAGAGGGTTACAGTTCTTTTCTCTTTCAAAACAGGTCTAAATACCAGATTAACATCCACAATATGCCTTGGGATCCTTGCATCCTGTCCCAAAATAAGACCTGTATTATGTCTTCCCTGTTCCACTGTGTCAGGCACCTGATCCAGGATAATGGGCTTGCTTATTGGTGTGCATTAGTCTCAAATTTAGTGTCGCTTATGATCCATTTCATATCTTTCTGCCTCCCAAAGGAGATTCTTACTCAAGAATAAAATCTGGATGAGTTTCTCCTAGAAAACAATGTGAATATAAATGCAGCTCTAACGACAGCTTTACTGACTCCCTGTGGGGTAGAATTCCCAGTAATAACAGATTTAGCATGTGGGCTGATACCTTTTTAGTATCACAGGGACAGCATTGTTTAGAGAAAGCCTTGACTCCATTTGAATAGCGTGGAGGATGCCAGGAGGAAGGCCAAAGGAAAAGGAAGCGGGAGAGCGGTTGGTTTGTCTCACCCTCACATCAGATGACAGGAAGTCGGAATTGAGATTGGCCACAGCAACCTGTTAAGGCCACATCTGTTTGAATAACTTAAAAGCTCTATAGAAACCAAATAAGTTTTAGGGAGAGGAATCCAAGAAGAGGGTGAGGGGCAGAGTGGCAGTCAAGAGCTTGGGGTGTACCTCCTGCCAGGAGTAAATGTCTTCCTTGGCCATATATAGTCTCTATTCGACCACAGATGAATTGTGTTAAAGCAGCAGAGGTTGGGGAGTTACCCACAGTGGGATGATCTATAGGACCGGCCAGGTTCCAGGCCTTCCCTGGTAGCTCAGCTGGTAAAGAATCCGCCTGCAGTGCAGGAGAACCCAGTTAGATTCCTGGATCGAGAAGATCCCCTGGAGAAGGGATAGGCTACCCACTCTAGTATTCTTGGGCTTTCCTGGTGGCTCAGACAGTAAAGAATCTGCCTGCAGTTTGGGAGACCTGTGCTGGATCCCTGGGTTCGGAAGATCCCCTGGAGGAGGGCATGGCAACCCACTCCAGTATTCTGGCCTGGAGAATTCCCATGGACAGAGGAACATGGCGGGCTACGGTCCATGGTCTCGCAAAGAATAGGACACAACTGAGCGGCTAAGCACAGGTTCCCCTGCTCATGTGAGACCGGCCTCCATCATGTTGCAGTTCCACATGGTCCCGTCGTTCAGCTGCATCAGGGGTGGAAACTCTTGGCCTCCATCATGTTGTGGTTCTACATGGTCCTTTCATTGAGTCGCATCAGGGGTAGAGACTCTCAAGCACTTATGGAACTGCCACTAGTTGTGGTTTGGTTTTTGGCAGAGTTTGTCTCAAGTGCAAGTAGGAACTCATGGTTAACTGTGAGATCCAACGGGGGAAGTCTTTGGAATTGTTTTCTTGTTTGTGTGAATGTGTAAGTGTTACTTTATTTTTGAGGTGGGGTTGGCTTTGGCTTTGGGAGTGTGTGTGTGTTTCTGATGGAGTTACAGTTATTCACTAATACTGTGTCATTGCCAAGAAATTAAAAATAAATAAATCAACACTATTTTTGAACTTTTCTCCTAAAAAAAAAGAAAACAAATGGTGCTTGTGGGCCAGACAGCTGTTTGTTAGGTGTGGGTTTTTTTGTTTGTTTGTTTGGTATTTTTGTGCTAGACAGATGCAGAGCCATGACAATTCTAGTTCCCATTCCAAATAGAGGCAAACAACTCTGGTTGCCAGATAAACTAGCGGTGCAGTTTGGAGGAGAGCCGGCAAGGAGGGGGAAGGGGGTGTGAGGTTTTTGTCCCTGGGGTAAATTAGCTCCTGCTTTTATCTCACACTCAGGCTGAGTGGCCGACCAAACTCCCAGAGCGTCTCAGGGGCTGTTCTTTCTCCACAGATACCATCTCCTCAGGCTGCTGCAGAAGTTTGGCACGGTGAAGCAGTTCGACTTCCTCTTCCACAAGTCAGGTGCTCTGGAGGGACAGCCTCGAGGGTACTGTTTCGTCAACTTTGAGACTAAGCAGGTAACTGAACTTCTTCTCCTTTCCCAGTACTTATCCTCTCATAGTTAATCTGCGCATCTCTCCCACTGCTAGAATAGCAGTTCCTTGTGGGCAGGAGCCATGTCTGACTCACCCCCATGTGCCGTGCTCTGAGCCCTAAAGGAGACCCTCAGTCAACCACTGAGTTAGTGACCAGCTCTCAAAGTCTGCTCCTTACCGGCTGGCCGGCTGCGGCGGCTGACCTACTTTTCTGACCACATGCTTTGGGGTGCCCACATTAAGCACATGGATGGCCGCCTCCCTGTTCTCTTTTGTCTTCCTTTCGTGGCTGGCCAACAGAGCCGCCTTTCCTTTCAGAGTTCGGCCCCTGGTGCAGAAACCCTCCCTGTCTGTGGTGAGCCACCCACAAACTCTCTTTTATTTTGATTTCTTAAAAATGTGTCCTCCTCCTCAACATCTCGGAATAAATGTGGACAAGTTTGAATATATACAGAGAGAGCACCAGCTTCAACCGTGGTGTGTCCGTGGAACTACTATTAAAATGTAGTCCTTATAGTGGGCATGCGTTGATAAAGGACTTGAATTTGAATGTTACTAAATATAGAGACACTGTTTATAGTTCTGCGACTTTATTAGTCATGTGTGAGAATGTTGCCTAGTTTCTGTTTTTTTAATAATAATTGTATTCGGATATTTTTCCTATAAAAGTAATACTTGTTTCTTATAGATGAAATATAGATAAATAATTACATATGTCAGTCTAAAACCCAGAAATAATCAGTTTTCAGTATTTAGTTATATATTTTTCTAGTCTCTTCTTTCTTCACATTCACACACACAAACGCATAAAATGACAAAAACACGTGCACAATTTAAAAGAACACATGTACAGCATGTAACACACATATAGGATTGTGTATCCTATTTACCACTGAAAGTAAATTAAAATTTTTTCCATCATCCAATACATATCAAGATAACATTCTGTATCATATTGTGGTTTCACTGGTATCGCTGTAGATAGATGTAAAAATTCACTGATCTATATCTATAATACATTTTATTATTTAGACATCAGTTTAAAAAATAACCAGCCTCATCTTTGATAACTGCATAATATTTTATTTTGTGAACATGTGATAAGTTACATATCTAACCTCCAAATGTGTAAGCCATTTGGTGAACATCTCTAGCTCTATGTGAATATTGACTGTATTCATGGAAATGGAGTGGTGTCAACAAAGGCCACGAATTTTTTCCTTAATATGACTGCCAGATTGCCTTCAAGAAATAATGTGTCAGTATGTTCTGAGACTATCTGAGAATGTCTTTTGTCCCTACCCAGTGCTTTATTAACTTTGGGCAAGTCTAACTTATTTTGACCTCAGTTTTCATCTAAAAATGGAAATTAAAAATACACACTCTCCTTACCTTTTAGGAAGTTGAGTGAGTAGGTGAGGGTTCATATGAAAGCATATTTGGCATTTAATAATACTGTTGGATACATGAATTTTGGAACAAGTTAGAAAGATAGGAAATTATTTTTAAAACTATTTATCACCTGCTGGCATCTTGACTATTGATGCTCCAGAATTAATACTGTCATGTAAATTCTAGCTCACTAAGTGAAATGTAAAAGAAGAATAAAATATCTCCTCTGTCCCTCTAACTCTGTGTGCCATAGTGAGGCACAGATGCCAGTGAGTACCCATAGTGGGTACTCAGATATCTGTTGAACGTCATACTGGCAAGACCCAGAGGAATAAGAGAATCACTGGTAAAACCAGACTAGAATGTCTTATGCTGAGGCCTCGGACTCCCCTTGTTCCTCTTCCTGTTCCTTAACGGCCTCTTTACTCCCAGTAAATGTGGGTAACACTTGGCCGAATGCCTCCTGGATACAAATGGAGCAGAGGAGGCTTGGCAGGATGGAAAAGTACAGCCAGGCTTCCTGGGAATGTCCTCGAGTGCCTATTATCCAGCCTCAGGAATTCCTTTCAACCTCGTTGCTCCCGTATCTGATGGGGAAAGGGTCAGGGAACTTCTGGCTCTGAAAGCCAGGTGCAGAGATTGGCTCACACAGATACCTTGCTCATAGCCTCTTTGACTCACTCTTGCTTTTTCCGGCCTGGTTTCCTTCACTCCCATATCCTTTGAAGCCATTACTGTAGCTCACTTTGGATTCAGGGTGTATCAGCCCTGGTCCAGGATATAGTGTCAAAGTTCCCAGGAAGAGTACACTTTCTTGATATAGTAGGTGTCACTCTGACTTACAGAACTGTGTAGAAAGATATCACCCAGTAGAAACAACACTGTTAGTCGACGTTGGATGAGTGCATACCACGTGCTCCATTCTTTGCATGTGCTCGTCTACTCCTCTGACCACTGCGGAACAAGCAGTATCCATATTTTGCAGGTGAAAAAGCTAATATCCAGAGAGATTAAATGACCTGTTAAATATTATACTGCCAGTAAGTGGCAGAGGCAGTATTTAAATTTTTGTTTGACTGAGTTGACAAAGTCTCAGACCCTTTTTATTATTCTGCCTTTTTTTTTCCCCCTTGTAATTCCTTTGCCACCTGTTTACCAAACAGTAAGAAATTCAGCCATCAAAGCTAGTGAGGCATTTGAGTCTTCTACTGACATTAATCCCTTTCCTGAACAGGAAGCAGAACAGGCCATCCAGTGTCTCAATGGCAAGCTGGCCCTGTCTAAGAAGCTGGTGGTGCGCTGGGCACACGCTCAAGTGAAGGTGAGTCTCAGAGGCTAGAAAGACCACATCAGCTCGTCCTAAATGAGTGTTTCAAAAGACAGTTGTCCACTCGCCCATTTGCATCCCAGCCTCTGCACATCTGGAACAACCACACGCTGGTCTCCTCCTTGTATTCACCATGTGTGTTGCCAGATTTTTCTTTTGAGAAACATCTCAGGAGGGATTAAGTTCCTTTGCCATTTTCCCTCCACATACCCACAGATTCTGTTTTTGATTGATTTTTCCATGTGACTGATGTGTCTACTCAGACCTCTATCATTTATTTATTTATTTTTTTGGTAGGGGTTGTTCTTTAGAGGAAAAAAATGTATTTATTTTTTAAATTAGTTGCTTTAGGCATTATTAGACTCTTCTTAGCCTCTCAGTTCTGTGGCAAGTTTGAATTGTTTATTCTAAATGCTTGAGAAATGGGTAGTTTGTAAGAGTGCTTAAAGTACTGGTATTTCCTTACTCGAGAGATTTTGAGAATTATTAGTGGGATTTGCAATGCCTGTATTGACTCCAAAGCCCAAGCAGTGGCGAATTGCTGTGTTCATCTCCTAGTTATTCTCTTGGGAAAATATGCTAGAAAAGCTACAACCATTAAAAAAGAAAAAAGAAGAATGGCATTCTGTTTCAGCCAGCACAGGTGAAGCATGCGTTTGCACTGGAGCAATCCACAAAGTTGATTCTCTTCCTCCTGCACTATGGTCTTAACAGACCTGCCTGCAAAGGTTTGTGACAACCAGATTTGAAGCCTTAGGCTTTATAAATGACCATAATGTTTAATCAGAGACTCCACCCAGCAAGCTCACCAGTAAACAGTCACCGAAATAAAGACATTTGAGTTTAGTTTTGAAGCTCAAAAACAGATCTCAGACACTTTGGATCTTTATGAGTATTTCAGGTAATCACAGAGCCTTCTCAATTTCCAGGATCCATCACATTAAAAATAGAAACAACAAGGAGAATTTCTAAATGCTTTTTTATTCAAAAGAAAATCAAGTCTCATTTGCCAGACTGGCTGTCATCTTCTCATCCTGTATCTCATTGAAAAGACATGCAGGAGAAATAAATCATCCTTCATTCTGTCTTTCATTTGAGAATCTCTGTGCCCTGCATGTATTTCTGACCAGAGACTCCTGATTGCTCTTTAACATTGTATTTACCTTTTAAAAGAAGTATATAATTATCTGACATCAAATAAACTGCACTTTTCCTAGAGAATGTTTCTGTATCAGGGCTGAAAGCTGTTACTACTTCTTTTCTCCACATAAACCTGTGAAGAGTTGACTGTTATGGTTGTTACTTTGCAGCAATTGAGCAAAACTTTAAAGTGCTTGAAATAAAGTGAAATAACTGCTGGGAGAACTGATATGTGACAGAATCAGAATGTGAGAGGGCATTCCTGCTGTGTAGCTGTACCATCTGTGAATTTCAAGGTTGAAATCCTTTCTCCACCAAATAAGGAGGATTAATGGGTAGATGAGAAGCCTCATCTAAATTTCTTTTTCTAAGTTTATAACCTTTATGCTAAAGCTGTCTGGACTCCTGCATTAATTCTGAACGCAAAGCAGACCTAAGATTGTCTAGAAATAATCTAACAATGGGCTTCCCTGGTGGCTCAGTGGTAAAGAATCTACCTGCCAATGCAGAAGACTCGGATTTGATTCCCTGGGTCGGGAAGATCCCCTGGAGGAGGAAATGGCAACCCTCTCCAGTATTCTTGCCTGGGGACAACCCATGGACAGAGGAGCGTGGTAGGCTACAGTCCGTGTGGTCACAAAGAGTCAGACACGACTGAGAGACCTGAACACAAATGCTATCTAATGATGCACTGGTGAGATTAGGGTTTCTGAACACATGCATTACAGTAAAGGGCTGGTTTCTGCCTGGGTGGGGTAATTTGCCTTTTTTCTTACTTTCAGAGATATGATCATAACAAGAATGATAAGATCCTGCCAATTAGTCTTGAGCCGTCCTCAAGCACTGAGCCTGCGCAGTCTAACCTAAGGTAAGGAGGTGTCCTGTAGGAAGACACAAGTATTACAAGCACTGGAGCCATCTCTTCATTCTGGCACTAAAAACCCTTCCGGCCCTTTAGAGTGGAGTCTGCTAACTTTGGGCATGCTGAGAGATGTCCAGTTAGTCTCCAGAATGTATACATGTCACTCCCCCAAGAGTGTGGACCAGCTATTTACACAGTTCATACACACACAGGAGGCTAGGTATACCTACCACATACCAGCTATTATACTTGGCATTGGGAACACAGAGGTAAATCAGATACAGTCCTTGCTATAAAACCAGCATTTTAATAAGACCTTGATTATCTTCAACATTTGTCATTATACCCTAGTTCCTCCCCAACTATGAGTTCCTTTATACAGAATTTGGGTTTGCAGCACTTTAATTTTATCTACCATTTCAGCAAATGTAACAGTTTTGGTTCCAAAATGTACAAATTGTCAGTTACTTCCTTGGAGTTAATTCAAAACAGAAGGAGTTGAGGGTTGAGTAAAGAAGGGGACGTTAGGGGTGAGCAGCAGTAGAGGGCTGGCTTTGCACGTAGCCTACGGAGAGATGTTAACAGGAACAAAAGCTGGGATTTGTGGGGCTTGCTGTGAAGCAAGCTCTGTGCTAAGCACTTCACGTGCTGTGTGTCACTGAAGTATGAGAATTCTGGTGAAAGTACTTTATAAAGGAAGAAACTGAAGTTTAAGGAGGTATCTTGGCCAACATCACGCAGGTCAAAAATAGCAGAGTACAGATTCAAAGCCAGGTTTACTGAACTTGAGAATTCAGTCTTTCAGTTACTGCTTCCAAGAAGCTCCAGGCTGTCAGTGCAGGACTGCAGTCCTAACACCTGGTCCAAGAAAGGGCAAGACTGTGAAAGAGCACCAGCCTCTCATGCATCCAAAGTCAACACGTCATAGAGTCAGGAAGGTGATACCTGTTTGGATAGAGGGCTCGGGGGAAAAAAAAAAACTTTTCTGTATATTATCTGCACCAAACAGAAGAGATTTACAAGCATCTCATTAAACTGCAAGGAAGGGTGATCCTGAAATGTTTCCAGGAGTAATAAAATTGATGAAGTTAATTTTATAGTTACCAATTTGTCTAATATCATTGATGTTTTCTTAATTTTGTGCTGCTTTATTTTGTACTCCCCCAATTTTTTTAAATTAATAACTTCAGTAAGTTCACTAGGAGTTTATTTCAGCTGTCCTATTTTCCCCTTAAGATTAAACCTCCTCAGTCACTATGGTTTCGTGAAGGTTTTCATAAATCTTAACTCCTCTTGGGAACAGATGACTGCATTGATGCTTGGTGATCTCCATGGTACTGTGAATGTGTCTTTCATTTTTTTCACTCTTTGTTCTTTTTACTAAATAATCTAACCTGGTGTTTTCCATTTAGCTTTTAATTCAGAGAACCTCAGCTTATGTGTTTTGATTAACATCTATGCCTAATTAGAGAAGGTTGTTTTCCCTGGGACTCATACAGAACGAATGGCTGGCTGTTAATTTTCCATTAATGGAAAAGGTGTGGATTGCATCTCAGTGAGACCTCAGGGTTCTTTTTTATGGCAACTAAGTTTTAAAATTTTACATTGCCCACGTAAAATCTTGAGTATGTGCAGATGTCTGCTTTTTGAGGATTTTCTAAAGGCTATGTATACGTTTCCCTCCCAAGTTTCTATTCCTGAGTGTAGACTATTGACAGTGTCAAAGTGGAAACTAAAGGAAGCCATAAGCCAAAAAATACTCTAGTTGAGTGTGTTGCATGCTGACCTAGGGACAGTGGTGTCCTTGATCGGAAGAAAATTCTTCATAGCTCCTGGAGTGTCTCCTCTCCCTTTCTCTCCAATACATGGCTACTCAGCTCCCAGCCTAATGAAGAGGAAAAAGCAAGGGCTTTGATGATAAACTGGGCTTGAATCCTGGCTCCATGGTTTGTTAGCTGTGTGAACCTTGGGTGAATCACTACCCCTCTGCATTTGTTTATCTATAAAACGTGTTCAGTATAGTCAAAAGTTAACAGTTTTTCCAGTAGTCATATGTGAGAGCTGGACCATAAAGAAGGCTGAGCACCAAAGAGTTGACATTTTTGAACTGTGATGCTCTAGAAGACTCTTGAGAGTCCCTTGGACTGCACGGAGATCCAACCAGTCAATCCTAAAGGAAATCAACCCTGAATATTCATTGGAAGGACTGATGCTGAAGCTGAAGCTTCAATACTTTGGCCACCTGATGGGAAGAACTGACTCATTGGAAAAGACCCTGATGCTGGGGAAAATTTGAGGGCAAAAGGAGAAGGGGGCGATAGAAGATGAGATGGTTGGATAGCATCACTGACTCAGTGGACATGAGTTTGATCAAACTCAGGGAGATAATGATGGATAGAGAAGTCTGGTGTGCTGAAGTTCATGGGGTCGTAGAGTCAGACACGACTTAGCGACTGAACAACAACAACAAAAATGTGGTTGATAACCCTTGAAATATTGTTGCAAGGATTAGAAACAGTATAAGTAAAATGCTGGGCACACTTCCTGGCTCATTGTAAGTGCTATGTAAATGATAGCCTAAACACACATTTGTCAGTAAAAAGGGACTTCGTAGGATTTCCGGGATGTTTTTTCCATTATTATTCAGTGATTCAGAAGGTGGTACTGTATAAGAAAGAGTTCATAGTATGGCTCTGGAGTCCAGCTGTATTCAGATCTCAGCTCTGCCACTTACTAGCTATGGGCACTAACCTTTCTATGCCTTTTTTTCTTTGTTCGTATCTGCAAAATGAAGACTATAACCTACATGAATTATTTCTTCCATTTTTTATTGTGGTAAAATAATATAGCATTTACGCATAAGATAGTGTTTACCATCTTAACCATTTTTAAGTGTACAGTTCAGTGGTATTAAGTACATTCATAATGTACAACAATCACCACCATCCATCTCCATAATTCTTTCCCTATCGTAAAACAGAAGCTCTATACCCATTAAACAATCATTCCCCATTCCCACCTCCCCCAAGTTCCTGGCAACCGTCATTCCACTTTCTGTCTCTGATTTTGACTGCTCTCTTAAGTATTTCATGTAAGTAGAATCATATAGTATTTGTCTTTTTTGTGACTGGTTTGTTTCACTTAGCATGGAGTCCTCCAGGTTCTTCCATATTGTAGCATATATGTATAGCACATTTTGCTTATCTATTCTTACTTCAGTAGACACTTGGTTTGCTTCCACAGTTTATGTTGTGAATAATGCTACCATGAGCATGGGAGTACACATCTGTCTCTCAGACTCTGCTTTCAATCCCTATACAAATTATCTGAGTACCTACTGTCTGCAGGTACTAAGGTACTGAACAGTGTTGGTATCTGAGGTTTAAGTGTAACAATATACAAATTATTCCTAACAGTGTCTTACAGAAAAAGCTTAATAGATATTTCACCCTTGATCTCTTTCCTAAAATAAGAACAATTATTTTTATGGGTTTTTTTTTCCCTCCCAAATAAAACTGTATTCCTTTGTTGTTCTTATTTATTTATTTATTGGCTGCACCCAGCTGCTTGTGGGATTTTCCCTGATCAGGATTGAACCTGGGCCACTGCAGTGAAAGCCTAGCATCCTAACCACTAGGTCACCAGGGAAGTCCTGTTTCCTCTGAAATGTCTGTGTGTCTGCGTTTGAGTGGCTTGTTGCTTCTCTGATAGGCCTGAGAGCCACAGAGAAGATGAAGTATATAGGTGTTCCCTGAGTGCGCAGGCCCACTCACGCTTTGCTGCCCTTTTTCCAGTGTCACTGCAAAGATCAAAGCCATCGAAGCAAAGCTGAAAATGATGGCAGAAAATCCGGATGCAGAGTATCCAGCAGCGCCTGTTTATTCCTACTTCAAGCCACCAGATAAAAAAAGGACTACTCCTTATTCTCGAACAGCTTGGAAATCTCGAAGATGATGGTTATGAATGACTGCTCTCCACACCTGAGACCCTCTGCCTTTGTACTTGTAGCTGTGAACAGTACTGCCCGACAGAACACGGTCACATGTTAGCGTTTGGTAACATAACATTTTTGGATGTTCTTCTTATGGATGTTTCTTCCCTGAAGTATGTGTGGAATTGAGCATCATCCAGAATAAATAGGATTTTATCCAAAACTGTGACTTGAATGCTGGGATGCTCTAGTTGGCTCGTTTGTTTGGATTTGTAACTCCAGAAACATTATATAGTGTGCCAGAAAGAAAGGCAAACACAAAGAACATTATCATTCAAATCAGGAAACTTAATTTATTAAGAGCTGTCTTTAAAAAAAAAAACACATTTTTCTGTGCTCAGTTGTCTTTACAACATAAAGAAAAAGTAAAAAAACAAGGGAGGAAAGTAAGAAATTTTGAATCATGCTCGAAACTGCTGTTCCAGAATTTTCTATGGAAGTCCCTCCAACTGGACTGAAAAGAAAAAGTTCTTGGCAAAAAGAGCTGGTTCTTTGAGCAAATGTTGTGGTAATCTGTTTAAGAATTATGCTTATTGTTTCAAAATCCCAATTAGGAAAACATGGTGTATATCTTTAAAAAGTGTTTGCGTCGACAAAACTGTAGACCAAAATTTAGCATTTTGTACCACAGCGGAAGTCCTGTTTGAAAATCCAACTTATATTCTATCGTGATCATTTTTTTAAAAAATCTAAATAATCCTGCCTTCTATAATACCAAATGTCATTATTAGTGTGGGACTTTTAAAGTTGCATTTATTGCATGAGATTGTTTTTAATAGCATGAGAATGTTCTGTTTGGAATTATATCATGGTCAATCTAAATAGAAAAGCAGATATCTTTGAAAACTTAAACATTGCTATATTGATTCTCTGTCAAACTTATACCTTTATTAATAAGTGTAGGGGTCTGAGTAGAAGAAATTGTCTTGTGTGGGGTGCGCTGGGGACACACAGTGGACACGCAAAGTCAGCGGGGCAGACACTGCTCTGGCACCAAGATTGTAATGACCTCATGTTTTATGTGGTTTATAAAGGCTTGAAAGATTGCATGACTTTAAAGCAATTCTTCATTTGTAGAACCTACTTCTCCTCAGATATCTTTTGCCACTTTGAACATTTTGAACATAACAACAGAGGAAGAAAAACCACCGATCTGAGAGTCTGTTCCCGTCAGCAGTGTTGGTCATTTTGGGGCCGGGTGGATAGCCTGTGTCGCTGGGCAGCACCACGGCTTCTTTAGCATGTAAAACATTTTGTTACTCAAGGTGCCGCTCTTAGTGATTGCAACTGTTCACTGTCATTGTTCCCAGCAAGAGGAGGCTCTCATTGTAGGAGTTTAAGTCTTCCTATGAGCAGAAATGAATTTAAGACGTTTGAACCAAAACTTCAGCATAGCGAAGTGTTATAATTCACAGAAGTGGTTCAGAGAAATTCCTATCACCTCTCCCAAGGTAAAACTTTTCAGATATCTTTCAATGTTATTCTTCCTGCATTTATGAACTCAGTATAAGATGCAAGTAACTCTCCTTCTGTTTGGGGGATAGTTCAGGGAGGTGGGAGCATTATCTCCCATTTTTCTGGTGACTTCTCTAAGAATATAGAATTCACCGTTTTACCCTTGAGGTCCTCGAAGAGTTATGGTGGAATAGGACTTAATGCAAAATAAATAGTCTTCTATTTTTAATAGGAACTTAGAAAATACTTAACTTTGGATTATCTAGAGTTGTTTCCTTTAGAAACCAGAGCTATTTATTTGTATTTAAAGCAATGTTTATTATTTGTACCTATTCTTACTCCTTTGTGTGAATAAATGCAAGACAGTGTCTGTGGTTGTGTCTTCTCTCGTCCATCTCCTGCACTAAAGACTGCAGCTCTCCAGGAGGCTTATTCCTCCTTCGGCCATGGGCCAAGGTGTCCAGGCAAGGTGCTGCTTCTGACTGCCTTCTCTGACCCCAGAGGCAGGTCTCTGCACCCTTTCTGCCTGCCTCCTGTTAGAGATGAGTAAAGAGACTAGCTGTTCTCACTGTACATCTAACTGTTCCCAAAAAAGTTGTTAACGGAAGGCCCCTAAAGTAGGAAAATGTGTTTGGCCCCTCTTTCAAAGTAGGGTTTCAGAAGAATAAAGGTACGTGTTAACAAATATGCTGAAAGCAGTTTGGTTAAAGGTTTGTTACATATGAGTGTTAACTTGGTAAACTCCTTGTTATGAGGTTATCGGTACTTTAAAATTATTTTTGGGGTTACTGTTTTGCTAAAATTATGTCACAGTTTTGATTTTTACGAGAGGAAAGAATTGATGGAAATAATCTCCTTAATCTCAGCTCTTCTTTATCCCTTACAAAATGTAACCCTAACCAGTAGACTTTGTGTAACTGGAATCTCAATATTAGGAGAAAAAAAATCACATGAAAGATTTTTCAAAGCATATCAAAAGTCAATAGCAGTTTCGTAAAACCAGATATTCTAGAGCTGTTCCCTTGTCTATTAAGGCAGGTACAGATACTTTCTAAATCACCAAGTATATCTACATTTTTAATACTACTGTATAAAAGAATAAGATTAATTCTTACCTTACAAGTTAATGTTAAATAGTTCCTTTATGTAATCATTATGTTCCTAAAAATGATTTGATTCTACCATATTTATCCTTGATTTCTCTTTTTCTCTCCTGTTCCTTCTACCCAGTCCTTGAACAAATCCTGTCAACTCCACATTGAAAATACTTCTTGAAAAAACTTTAAAAAAAACACCTCATCTTAAGTCCAATCATTTTACTATTACAGTACCTGCCTAATTATCTCCCTGCTTCCACCCAGTGCCTCCACTTTAACCAAAGCAATCCTTTCCCCATCTGAGCATGTCATTCCCTTCCATGGGCTTTCTGTCACACCTAGAATAAAATCCAAAGACCTAAATGATTTGTCCCTGACAACCTGCCTGACCCTATACGCCTTTTATAACTCTTGTTCACTGTGCTCCAGCCTCAATGGCTTGGCTATTCCTTGAGTGCTAGGAGGTCCTACCATGAGGCCTTGGCATTGGATGCTCACAGAGTCCATTCCCTTATTTGTTCAAGTCCCTGTTCAAAGGACCATGTTCAAGAGGCCTCCCTATCTAAAATCAGCCCTGTCACTTCTAACCACTCCCCCTTCATTTTCTAAATAGTCCTTGTCACTACCTAACATCATATACAAAGTTATTTTCTCTCTCTCTTTTTTTAATTAGAAGGTAAGTTCCCTGGGAGCAGGAACTTCTATTCACTGCTATGTCCCAACATTGAAAACCAGGCCAGGTAGGGACTTACCTGAAGTCCAGTGATTGGGACTTTCAAGTTCCCAATGCAGGGAGCACAAGTTCAATCACTGGTCAGGGAACCTAGATCCCACATGCCACACGGTGAGGCCAAAAAAAAAAAGAAAACAATGCCAGATATGTAATAGATGCTTAATAAATATTTGTTGATGAAAAATCAGAATCATGGTACTTGAGAACTGAAGGGCCTTGAGAGGCCCTCCCACACAACCCCCTCACTGGCCACATGGGAAAAGCTCAAATAGATAGACCAAGCAACTTGGCCAGGATCGCGTTGTTAGTGGGAGAGCATCAGATAGAAGCCTAGCGCAGTGTTTGTTGCGTCAGCAAACTGGCCTGTGCCCTCTTTTCGTACAGCCCACAGAGCTAAGAATGGCTTTTACATTTTTAAATGGTTGAGGAAAAAGTCAAGAATACTATTCTGTGACACATGAAAATTAGATGAATTCTGAATTTCAGTGTCCATAAATAAACTTGTATTGGAACATAGCCATGCCTATTCATTTACATATTGTCCATGGTGATTTTCCCACTACAATTACAGAGTTTAGTGCAACAAAGACTGTATGGCTCACAGAGCCTAAAATATTTACCATCTGGCCCTTCATGGAAAAAATTTGCCAACCCCTGCTCTGAAGTTTATTCCATTCATGGAAATGTCTTTCTAAACCTTTTTGGTGTCAACAGTTCCGGTGTTAAAAGCAAATCAAAGCAGCACAGAGGCAATAAAATGGTGTCAGTTCCTTATCACATCTCTGGACCCATTTACATGTCATCTTTTGGGATGGAGAACTAGCTGTCCAAGCCTAATAGCATCACTGTACTGGAAAAAAACTATACAACTGTGGGCTAAATTCCCTCATCCTACAGGCGAGGAAACAAGGGCTCAAAAAGCTTTGGCATTCAGTATGGGCTAACTAGGTGGCTGGTAAAGAATCCACCTGGCAGTCCAGGAGATGCAGCTTCCATCCCTGGATCAGGAAGATCCCCTGGAGAAGGAAATGGCAACCCACTCCAGTGTTCTTGCCTGGAAAATTCCGTGGCCAGGAGAGCCTAGCAGGCTACAGTGCATGGTGTTGCAAAGAGTCAGATGCCACTGAGCAAAACCACACGCACACAAGCCTAAGTCAGACCTCTGGCCCCAGCTATGCGAGCAGGTTAGTTGGGACTCAGTTCAAGTAACAAAAACCCTACTCCAGCTACCTTCTGGTAGGAAATTTATTGGCTCATGGAACTAAGAAGTCCAGGTGTTCAAATGATATGGTCAGGAATCTGTCTGTCTCTTGATTGTGTTTTCCTCCGGGTTGGTTTCATTCTCAGGCAGGATCTCCTTAATGGTCTCTGGAGAGAGACTTGAATCCCAAGTTAAAAAACACAGACCTGTCAGAATTTCTTTCTCTCAGGACATGGGGCTACATCGTCCTTCCTCTGCTTTCAGTCTGACTTGGCTAGGATTCCTGATGCTACAGAATGGCTTATTTTCAATATGCCCTGTGACCTTTCTAAGGTAGAAACAGAATTTAAAATTTAACCTTGAAAAACAAAATTAAGTTTTCCTTCTCTGAAAACAGGCCTCTCTGTCCCTGCTGAAAAACTTATTGGCCGGCAACCTCATCAAAAGGAAAGTGGGTTATTCCTCAAGCATCTACAC